TATGTAAGTGTTGTTGAGCAAAACCTTAGCATTAGAGTAGACAGTAGGGCATATGTGCATTAGGACAATAACACATGGCTTAGGAAACTAAGGAGGAAGAAGATGATGTTATTTAAGAAGTGATGTAGAGGGAAGACAAGAAGGCTAATGGTTATAGGAAGGCAGACCTTAAGAACTACTAGTTGAAGGTTGAGGGACAGGCTGATGCTATAACCAAGGTGTTATGGCTATGGTAACGTGACGTCAGTTACAGGGCTAGTGGAACTAGGATTGGTAACGTGACGTCAGTTACAGGGCTAGTGGAACTAGGATTGGTAACGTGACCTACGAAGTCACAGGGCTAGCGGGGCTAGGCTGTAGCGTGACTAGGCTAGTGGATAGTTGCAGAAACTAGTGGATATTAGATAGTTGAGCTATCTATTAACTATCTAGATTATCTAGCTATCCATAAACTATCCAGATTACCTATAAGGCACGACACCACTATATAAGTAGATAGTATTCCCTTAGATAGGAGCTTCGTGCTCAACTCAATATAGTATTCTTTACAAGACTGTAACGTGTTACTTAGAAAGCCTTTGTGTTTAATCCCCTGCCTCCTCTGTCAAGTCAACCTTACATAAGAAACCTCTATGTATCCTATTAGATAGGAAGTAGCGTTACACTTTAAGCACCACTTCTATGAGGTACTAGCTTACACACAAAGCAACATGGCTAGAAACAATACTAGATCGAATGTCATAACAAAGGGGAAGCTAGCCATCAAAGCCATACAGGCTCATCCCTTAGACAAGCTTAAGGTTGCATTCCCTAATACCTTTCATGGGGATCGTAAGTAGCTAAATAGTTTCCTCACCTAAACATAGCTATGGATGGTGTTTAATGCCAAACACTTCACCTAAGAAGTAGAACAGATCCTATAGGCTGTGGCCCTCTTACAAGGACCAGCCTTAGAATGTATCTCTAATTATCTTGCCAACTACATGACCCATCAAACGTTAGAAGGAACATACAACACCTAAGCCAGCTAAGGAATGAAGGAGATTTTCGTATCCTAGGGCAGACTCATTAAACAACTTAAAGCAAACTTCAGAGAGATCGATGAGCAATGAAATGCAGTTAGGGCACTCTAGGCTCTTAAGCAGATAGGGTTAGCAGTTGCATACACTGATAAGTTTTAACAGCATGCAACACTCACCAACTAGGGAGATGAGGCTATCTGTGACCAATTCTACTCGTGCGGCCCAAAAGTTTCCACAGGGTCTGTGCACAACAGCAAATTAGATTGTAGGAATCTATCAAGCACCATGTACTTGTACCCGAGTACACGCGTAGAAAATGTACACACGTAGAATATGAGAGTGAATGAAGCAATGAAGTAATGCTCAACAATGGCTGAAATCTCAATACCACTACGTGCTGCAATTTATTACCTTGCGTGTATACATGAACGCATCATATGGAGAGATTGAAAAGAAGCTTGGAATCTCAGCTGACTCTATTGCATATATATGGCACCAAACTGTTAAAAGGGCAGGGAATACTGAAATTCACAACCTTCTCCAACACCTCGAATCAAAGCCACGAAGCGGAAGACCACAGACAATTCAAAAGGATTCTGAAGAGTCACTACGCATACAATCTTTGCTACTTGCAAATCCATTTGACACTTTTCAACAAGTTATTAATAAGGAAAATCTACCCTACGCACGATCAATTGTCGAACGAGTTGCAAAGAATCACTCAAGTGTTGAAATTCCACAACCTATTGTACGGAAAAACATCTGCCTCAAGCCCTACTTGGATAATATCATTCCTTCAGTACGATGGAAATTCTGCAAATGGGCACTATCCGAACTTGAAGCTGGATCAATTTTTATTTTCTCAGACGAATCATATATCAATTTCGGAGGGAATCCACATAAGAAACGACGGATAACAGTTCAACGGGGTCAAACAGCAGAGAGCATGGCAATTCAACAGAAGAAATCTTTATTTCAAGTTATGTTTTGGGGAGCAATGAGTTCAGAAACCTCTATCTTACGCCCTTCTCGTTCATGGATTCCTGAAAGTATAGAAGAGAAGCAGATACATGTGCAGAAACTACGAGAGATAAATGCATATTGGAAATCAAAAGCAGAGAATGAACTTGTTAGAGCAACAACAGTTGGAACTCTTGAGTACGGATATATGGAAACTCTAAATGCAGATATTCGGAATGGCAAAAGCAAATGGAAAAAGGCACGAGTTGCTTCACAAGAGTTTGGAGATATAGAGACATGGAGTAGAGGACGGCAATCAGAAGGGCAAGAAGTTTCAAAGGGCGGGATTGATTGGTTTCTATATCGAGAGATGGTTCTTATTCCTCTTCTCTTCCCCTACTTTCGAAAAGTAAAGGCTTTACATCCTACAAAACGAGTATGGTTTGTGGATGATAATGTAAGTCTTCATTTGAAGGCTCACCGATCATTGGAAGATTATATGAAGAAGGAGGGAATCTATAGAGTGAAATTTTGGCCTCCAAACTCTCCCGATTTGCACCCTATTGAAAATGCCTTTGATTATCTCAAGGATCAGGTTGATGGCTATACACCATTAAACGGAGGGAAGTTTGAGAGAGCTCATGCACGGGTATTTCTTGAGGAAGAATGGGGGAAAAAAATGGATGGGAAATCTACACAATTATGTGCTTCGTTTAAGGACAAGTTGGAGCGGTGTATTGCAGTCAATGGGGGGAACAACTTTCGTGGGTAGATCAGTACAAGTACGTAGAGTATGTACATGCATTTTCTCCAAGTACTTACACGCCCCACTTATTACACACAGACCCTGTGGAAACTTTTGGGCCGCACGAGTACACAGGTCTAAAGGACCACGTAAAGTACGAAATCCCAAGGTCTGACAAACTGGATGACCTTAGGGAAATGATCAAATTGGCTTAGAAGATTAACAACTAACACTATGAACATGAAACTCAAGAAGAAGGGGGGACCACCTAATCAACAAGATCGTTGTCATCCTACACATCCCCATCCTGCCCCCATTCTCCTAATTTCTTCATTAGGTGGTTTAAAGTTGTGCAATCCTGCTTCTAGATGTCAAACGCTTGTGAATGTCCTCATTTCCCTACCTACATACGCGTTTTCTGTCTGTTAATCGTAATGTCATTTTTCATTTAGGAGACTTAGAAGAGGAGACAAACAAAGAGTCATTAGCCTTAACCTATGGAACTTGATGCTACTATCAAGCCTAACAGCAAACCCTACAATCCTAACAAGGAGCAACAGCTTAAGGAATGGCTCTGCTTCAACTGTAACAAGCCTAGACATATGGTGCGAAATTGCAAGCAACTAAAGAAAGGGAATGGCAGGCGAAAGTATAGCAAACAGCTCAATGCTACTTAGCAAGGTTAGGGCAGGTACAATTCCCTGCGAGGACAGATATGCGCCACGTTATAGGGAAAAGTGTCACGGTTCACCAAGGCATAGGGCGCCAGTTGGGTATTATGAATTAAACTCAATCTAGAGAAGAAAGGAAAGAGAAGAGGAGCACTCGAGAAGTGGCTCAATCTATATACAGCTATGTTGTTGTAGAGTGAATTCTCTTTAGCAAGACCAGTTCTGAGAATTCACTCCACAACTGAAAACTTTGCTCCAACCCCGGAAAGCTCCCCACACCCCTGAACCCCCACTCGAGCTGCAAGGCGCACTTGATATCGTAACAAAAAGAGACCTAGAGCACTAATGCTTAGGATCTTAAGGAATTCAACACGTCAAATGGAAAAGACAAGAGTGACGACTTAGTGAGCTGAAGTCAAAGAGCTCACTAGCTTTCAGAAGCATCAGTTACAAGTGTTTAAGGAAAACGCAAGTGAGACCCTCTTTAAGGAGCAGCTACTAGGAGCAGTAAAAACCTTTAAGGAAACCATGCTCTAGGAAATAGTCAATTAAGGAATTCCTATGCCAAAGCCACCAACAAGATGGCTAGGCACCACACAAGACTAGGAGGTTACAGTCTACACAATGAGGTACCAACTAGAATATCCATACTAGTAGGGACTACGTAGAGCAACTACACAGAAAAAGAAGCCATAGAATGGCTAAAGGACAAACTTTACAAATACAACGTCTAGGATGCTATTGTAGAAGGAGGAATCTTCGACATATATCACCCTAACAAAGAGATCTATAAGGATCGATAAGAAAGCCTATTATAAGTACTAGAGCAACTAGAGCTAGGGGAAGGATATGAAGGACCACAGCCTATAGAGATCTAGGCTGCGAACAATTACAAGTTCGAGGAGTCCATTCCTAAGGAGAAAGGGAAGACACGAGTGTGGGAATTATACTAATGTCTGCAAGATGCAGCAGAATGAGCAGAGGAAGGACCCTAATGCGACATAGTCCTAGAGGATATGTACTCTATATTTTCTCAAACTAGCAGTTGGGGTCTAGGTCAAACACCCCTACACTCCCTTTAACGACACTATACTTTGTCAAAGACACTCATTTACCTACTACTAAGCTATAGAGCTACAACTCCGTAGCAAGGCCGTAGGGCACACTACACACCACACTTGTAGTGGCTCATAACATCAGACCAGCGGGACCAGACCAACCGGTCCCGCATACACCACCTTTTAGGAGAACCTTTGAGGCACCGCCCTCTACTAGCAAACCTAACACCATCCCAATTAGCAGGGAAGGCGCTTAGTGAACGGGCCTTACAGCTACGTAAACACGCAAGAACTGCTCTCTAAGGTCATACTCTGTACATAAACCTATAGCTTAGCACGTCCCCATACCCTTGGGAGGTCTTAGGGCCGCGGGTTACACCTGCGGCCCACTAGACGTAAATAAATATCATCATCATCATCATCAATCATCAACAGAGGTAAAGGGTGCCTAAAGCAGCAGCCGCAACCCCGAGAAGTGGCTTTATTCTATAAATACGCAACTCAATTTATTTATATTCAAATGGAAGACTCGAGTTTGAATATTCGCAATAATAATTATATTTATTTGCATGGTTCTTATCTATTCCTGATTCATAAAGCTAACCAAGTAACTCCTCTCATCAAATTTCGTTAAGAGCTGGAAGCAACCCCGCTCTTGAAGTCGTCCATATTACTCGCCTCCCAGCCATGCGCTCTACATGCTCTCAAGTATGCATCAATAGCTTCCCCAACGCCATAATCCTCACGCCCCCCCCTAGTAAGCCTCGCTGGTTTCGGATCTGTGCTTGAGATTGCCATGCGTACTTGTAACAAGACGCTCTCGATCGAAGAAACAGCCGACCACCCCGAGTTTGTGAGCAGCTCCATACACAATGCTCCCCCGGCCGTCACATGTCCTCCACCGCCAGCCATAAATGGCAAGAATCGTGGGCGGATGACACGTACGAACGGGGGTGACATCGGATAGTTCTTTCCAAATCGCATCTCCAAGACGATCGATGATATGTTTGCATCCTTCATCTCCATGGCGAGAGGTAGTTTCGAGTCGAAGGAGTGGAGTTCAACGATCCATTGATACATGTTGTCGATGGCGTCCCCATCGATATACCAGCCGAGCTCGTGGAGTGGTGTTGCGGATTGGACTTTGAGAAGAACTTGAAGATCACGAGCTAACATGTTGGTTGCGGTCGAGGTAGCGTAGGAAGGAGAGCCAAGGAGGGTGATTGTCGACCTGTCGAGAGATCCCGGGATAAAGTCGGTTTGGGGGCCAGCATTCGCCTTGACTACGGAATTGCTCTCTTCGTCATCTATTAAGAAATTGATATCATCAAGATCCGAATCATCAGTAAGATCCGAATCGTCACCTGCCGGATTCTTGAAAAAGATATTAGCCAAAGACCGATGCTTTTGTTTCTTCTTTTGGTTCCCAGGCGGGTCAGGCCTCTTGGCCCAGATTCCTCCATTCTCAACTGAGAATGTTCGTGAAGGGGGAAAGGCGCTTCTTGGGATCCCAAGCACTTGTCCATTGACTCCAGTGACTCTTCTCATGGGATCCTGCTTGATGTATTGAACTGCTTTAGAATCGATGGGACCATTCGGCATATTGCCTTTGCCTGCAGCTCCTACGACTTCGCCGCACAACACAAAGAGATATCTGCACTGGATCCAATCGACGTGTTGTACGACCAGATGGGGATTATTGCTAGTAAACTCCAGAGGGGCGTTGACTATCTCGTTCAGGCATATAGCCTGCGCGATCTTGAGATTGGAACCAGGCCAGTACCTCAATCCGGCATCCTGTTTCTGTTAGCAGTCGAATCTTGATAGTAAGAGTACAGTAACTTACACAAGGAAAGACACCGCCACGAGCGTTGCAATACCCCAAGCTTGTCTGAAAGTGTTGGGAATGGTAACAGCCATTCCCAAATGCCCTCCCGTTAGCGATCTGGTTGAAGTCCAATCCACTTCGAATTATGCTGTGCCAGTTGTGAACAGCACTTCCGTGCCACGCAAATAGCGTGGGGAACTCCTCGCTGATGCTGCCCTTCTTAAGTGATAGGGCTTTGTGGAATTTTTGCTCTTTGTCTGGGGCACCCTGGGCAAAGCGGAACTGAACCCACCCATCCAGATTCGTAACCTTTTGTCCCAAGCGAGAGGCATTATTGAACAAAGCATCTGCTTCTGGCTGACCAGGATATCTGTCAACCTGCACGATGCATGACAGGTTCGAAGCAACGATCCAGCGAAGTAGGCCCAGAGCAGCAGGACACATTCTATCGGCCCAATTGCGAAAGCTGGGTTCTCCAGAGACCTTCGTTGACTGAAGATATGCTCTCATATCGTTGATAGAAGGCATATTCCTCAGTAGTGATAAGATCGTTGCATCTTTTTGTGAAACAGTGAGGTCGTCAAATTTCATTTTAAAGGCGGCCAGCTTTACCCGGATACGGTCTTTGGGTGAGGCGGCGGTGCTATTTCGGGAAGGCGCGCCTCCAAGGTTGTTTTCTTGGATTACCTGAGGCATAACTATCCCCCCGGAGCTTGTGTTATCATATTCCAAGCCGGGATTGATAAGATGCATGTGAGGGTGCGTATATGAAGCAACTCTGAAATGGAAGATATTTCTTCCTGGCTCCTGAGTTGCATCCTGAGTTGTAATTTCTACCCAGTCGCCCACCACTACATCGCAGGGATCTTCGGCATCCATAACAACTTCTTTCTTTGCCAAAATAAAACAAACGACATGGATGCCGGGTACTTTGGTTTCACCACTAGGCGGATCTTTCGGGGGTGATGTTGATGGTGCTCCCTCAGTGAATTGCACAATGGCATTCGGAACAGGTTGTGCCACAACCAACCCCATCCCTGTAGGATACTTGCGCATACTTCGAGCATGGGTACTGGCGTAGGCAAAACTGACGAGGAGATCGACGACGTATGGCTGGGTTGCCACAGAATGCTCAACCGATGGGCCAAAGCCCAATGCCATATATTGGTATAGACAAAGCGGGTTAGAACAAACGTAAGGTTTCAGAGCCTCAAAGCTGTCCTCAGTTTTGGAGTGACACACCAAACAGAATTCGGTGCATCGAATGAGATATCGCAGGCAAAACTGCATCGCGATGAGAGGAAGCGAGTAGTTTTCGCCTTCAGAGTCTTCAAGATGGTCGATTGAGGCAATGGGCGGAAGATCTTCCTTGGTGATATCTTCAGTGATGGAATGGTCAACTGGCTCCCTCGAAGACATAGTTGCCCGTGATTGGTACATGTTGTAGGCACGTTTTGCCCCTTCCCATCCAAGACCATCGTTTTTCCGGATTTTAAGCAGACTTAGAAAGCGGTCGCTTAGAAGTTGATTCATCGGACTGGATATAAACAGGGCGTGGAACTTGCGATCATCAGTCTCCTCTGGATTCTCGTCAAGCTCTAGTGTATTTGAGAGAATATCAGATGCTTGAAGCCTGGAGGTTGAAAACGCAGCCACAGCGTCCGATAAGCAGGGTTTATAATGATTGCAGACCCCAATTCGAAACTCAATCTGAAGCTGACGGACGGCGATGTCCATGACTTTCTGGAACGTCACATATGGCCCTGCGTAGTGAATGAGCAGAACGATGTACTGATGTGGCTGTAAATCCCAAGCCTCAATAGCCTGCTCTGAGAGTCCAAGATGTGCAACTTTAATGGACATACTTAGGATGCTGTCTGTAGAGTCAGCTCTCATCCCAGCCAAAATTCCAATCCTGAATCCCGCCAATTTCGCACGTGTTACGTCTTGTCTTATCTTCCCCTGAATAGCTCTTAATATTGACGGATCCAATGTGACTTTGGTGGATGACATGAAAATATCACTAAATGGGGAGCCTGGAGACCAGTCGTTATCATCGTCATCGTCCCCGTCATCTTCGACATCTTCTTGGCCGCCATAGCCGGGGTGAGTGGCCTGATCATCTTGGAACGAGCCGCCCATAATAACATCGTCATCGTCTATACATAGCGGATCTTCTTCTGAGCCGGTTGCCAAAGAGCGTAGAGTTGCCGCAGTCTTTTCCAGAAGACCTTGAACTGTGAGGCCGAGTAAAGAACCCTGGATGCTCTGAAGTTCCCTTTCAAAAGCTGGTGGGGCTGAGACGGAGTCGACACCAAGAAAATAGGTATTGCCTTTTGGATATGCGGAGGTATCTACCATTAAATTAGTATGAGCAGTTCATCAGTTTGTGCAAAATTGGCAGTGAACAGGAGCCATCATTTGAAATAGCGGTTGCCACGTCAAGGTCATAATGGGAACCTGTGAATAGATCCGAGAAGAAGTGAAGTTACACCAGAATTTGAACTTACCGGTTGCGAGGGCCTGGATCAGCACTGAATCACCTGATCCAGTTGTGAAAGCGAAGGTGAAGTCTTCTCCTTCATCTCCGATTTGTACACGTTCAATATCGTCAATAGTGGTGTTACTCGCCGCGGCGACATCAGCTATGAAGGCCTTCCGAGTCATGATGTTCGAGTTGAGATTTGTGAGCCAATTTAGTTTCCGATTTATCAAAGACGAGGATCATTTATAACCACCTGAGGAGTGGAAATTATAGTATGCTGTATTGCAGATGAACAGAATCTCCCGAGTGAGGCTGAGGCTGAATGCTACAATGTACTGGCCAGTTCGAAGCGGGCCAGACCATTATTCACTCTGATCTTTGTCCATGAAGTAATGGTCAAGAAGGTCCCTGGATGTGCCCATGTGAATCAAGAGTCAGCAAGAAGTTGGCAAGCGCCTTCACTAAGGGACATCAGTCGATGCCTAATGTGCTAGAAAAGTCGCGAGAGTTGTGGTCTGAGGATAACAAGCCGCACCCTTACACCAGAGGAAACATAGGCAGTCGTCGCATTATACCAGGGCACTGTCTCAAAAGGGGGCCTCATCAGGTACAGCGCGGGGCCCTGGCATGCAGCCAATAGGGACGACAGCTGAGGGCCAAAAGAGCTTACTGGGGTAGTCGAGTACAGTACGGATCCACGTACGAGCAGCTTAAGTTAACGACTTTGGTCTTTCGCCACCAACTGCCTGATTGCGTAGAATACTTCAATTGAATGCGCTTCAGATTATAGAACATTTTGCAGTCTTTCCTGTTTATGGTCCAGCATGGCCTGGGACTCTGAGTCTGCCCGGCGGCGGCAGAGTAACATTGTTTCTCCGCAACGTGTTGAAAGCCCAGCACAGCCGCTGGTCACCAAGACATACACGCCTAAATCTACCCACGTAGCAGATCCGACGTTGAATCCATTTCTTGCACCTTCATTCAATGCGGCAGACTATTTGAATGTGACGCTGCCACCATTGAAAGCTCGAACATCGACCCAGCGCGTCTCCAAAGAGGTTCCACTTGCCGACCTGTCTACGCAGACACAAACGCTGCTGTCACAACTAAGCGCACACACAACGAGACTTACGAATACCTTGACACAACTCACAGATGAGATAATACGAAGTGGAAGTAGACTGGCATACGAAGTTGAAGTACTGCGCGGCGAGACGCTTGGATTGTCGGAGTCATTGACCGAAGGTCTCCATGAGGACATTTCAAAGTTTGTTCCCGGTGGTATCGATAGCAGCCCAGGAAGGAAAGCTTCAGGAACAGGTGGGACGGCCCGACGGAAATCATCTATGTCGCTAGATACAAAGGTGGCTACAACTACTACACAGGCTGCGGCCAATGGCGACCCTCCATATATCCAGCAGTTGCGCACTCTGACATTAGTGAGGGACCGACTCGATACAGTCATCAAGACTTTCGGCGATGCCATGTCTTGGACATTTCCTCCGTCAGAAGTCTCAGTGAGCTCGGGATTCCTATCAGTCTCAGCAGCTGAGCCGGGGTCGGAAGCACAGAGCATCGAGGAGAAGGGCCAGCAAGTTTCCAAGAAGCTTCGTGACGAGATTGCCGATATACTTATCCGCAGTGATGACCCCGTGGACAACATTGAAGCGGCCGCTAAGAGAGTAGAAGAGCTCAAGGAGCTCAGTAAGGTGTGGAAGGGCACGGCAGAGGAGAAGGCAAGAGTTCGATTTGTGGAGTCCCTGGCAAAGATGGTCGAAGATAGACATCGCAGCCTTCTCCGAGAACAACAAGAGCAAGAGAAGGGAGCTAGAAGTAAACCTGAGGTGAAAGCGACAGGCACGGTCCCGACGGCCAGCGCAACGGATTCGAAGGCTCAAAGTAGCTACGGCTTCATTAGCCAGCTTCAAAAAATGCGCGGTGGTATTTAAACGGGATCAAATGAACAGAACATTTACAACCAAATATGGTGCGAGGTTAAACAACGGCTGCCCTGACTGGTGATGGATTGCAACGTGGCTCAGCCCATGACTCCAGAGTTTTCTCCCGTCCAGCCCTGCCCATGGTGTCGATTTTATGTTTATCACTTACATTTTAGGAAAAGTAAGGTGATCGTCTCTATTATTGCGGTTCTCGTGCGCGGAATCCGCCTTTTCGACTTTTATCGTGATTATCATCCGTTCGTTCCTTGTCTAGGGCCCATTGCGTCACCCCACACATATCTACTGTGATAAGCTTAAACACCACGAAATGCCACGCCACTTCTTTCCACCATTTTAAAATATCGTTGTTGGGTCGTGATGCATGGCAGCTATTTAGGCAACTCAGCAATGGAAGATGGTTTGGATATCGTTCCCGGTGGAGGCAGCAGTAGACCTGCGTCCTCCCCGATCTCACTTGCTGGAATGTTTATTAGTGGTCTTTGCCGGCCAGGTCGTATTCGCGGTCGTCTAGCCATTGCACTTCTTATCAGTCTATTGTTGGCTGCTGCATATATGGTGAGAGGTAATACGGTATGAAAAGCCCTATCTCATTAGCATTTGGTTATTATAGAGGGATGTCAAGTCTGACCTTATATTCCAAAGGATCATATTAAAAACTACGTTTCCACGTCACTTTCCTCAAGCAACTCAGCATCGGAACCAGAGGAATCAAAATGGGGAATCGGCGGCAACAATAGCTCCTCGAACGGCTCTATCGACGGAAACAAATTTGTTCTCATAATTCCAGCCCGACGTCCCAGCGTCGCCCTCTGCAAGACTCTGGTATCTGCAGCTATATTGAACTATCCTCCGCCTACTCTCATTGGCTATGGAAACGATAATGGAAATGAAGCAGATGGCGGGGCCACTACGGACACTCTAAAGTTCTTATTGAGCAGACAAATACAGGATGGTGACCTGGCTTTAGTCGTGGATGAGAGGACATGGTTTCAATTACCCGGACAAGTAATGGTTGATCGTTTCGACTCGCATCTTCAAAGGTCTAATGCCCAATTACTTGCAAAGTATGGCGCGGGAAGATTCAAGGAGAAGATTCTATTTGGGGCTGAAAAGTCATGCATTGATCATAAATCAGACGACACAGCATGTTATGCCTCGCCATTATCACCAATACCGAAAGACGCATACGGACCCAGCACGGACGAGCCGCCGACTTCAAACTACCGGCCTCGATATTTATATTCGCCAAACATGATGGGACGAGCTGGAGATCTGAGAGATATGTTGCAGTACGCGCAACTGAAACTGGACACCAGAACCTCGAAAGAAAGCACGCAATACCTCTATTCTGAGATATTTGGAGATCAAGAATTAAAACGAGAAAAGGTCAGAAGGGATTCCCTGGGCCCTATATCCGCTTTCAAAGAGTGGCTCATACGGAACAATCCTAAAAATGATCACCAAACGTTACTCGGTATCGACAAGCTCGACCTGACGAACACCGGATCTACGAATAATAACAATCCCGATTTTGGAATTGGTCTAGACTATTCGAGCTCGATTTTCCAGGTTCTCGATAATAGTGTCGATGACATACAATTTGTCACATTCAACCACCCCACTATAGTCAACTCCCCCTCGCGCATCTCCGCCTCCGATTTCAGCCACCCAATCTACCTACCCCAAGACCTGAACTCGACCGCCCCACCCTTCAAACTGCACAGCACACCAGTTCAAGGCCCAGTGTCCGATCTCCCACTTGTAGAGGTCGACAAGCTGCCCGTCAATAAGCCATGGGCGGATGTGGCACTGGCGACGAATATCATTGTTCCCGGAACAGAGATCCCAAGTAGTCTGAGCCTCTTTGGAGCAGGGACGCCGGGACTGGAGGATAAGTGGTGGAAGAAGATGTGGTACCAGCCCAAGGCTAGAGCATTGATGAGACGGTATATGCGAAGCTACACTGGGCATATTGCTGCAGAGGCGGCAGCGAGAGGAGGTGAGTATTGGTGGGACTTTAGGGGAGGTAAAGGGGGGATGTGGACTGATAAAGGTATAGCATCCACCCGGGAGTCTGTGATAATGGCTAACTTGAAGTTCAGGCGAGTTCCTGGAGTGGCAGGAGGTTTGTGGTCAATATGACGAGGCTGCTTTTGGGGATAAGATGGGGAAACTGGGAGAGGAAGACAAGGTGCCCCAGCCGGTATACAATAAATTTGGGAAGATTATTGCGGATAAACCTCCGCAGTAGTCGGCCTGTTTTGGACTTGATAGATGGTGCATCTGAGAAGGAATGGAGTTATGTGGTTTGGCTCTCTTAGAATGGGAGGGTTGGAAAGCCATTTCGGTGGCGCTTGGAAATTTAGAATATGCTGAGATATCGTTAGATATTCAATAGACACACTATCAAAGTCCTAGGACAGGACGTTTATAGTCAGAAAGTTGGGCTGGGGAGGTTTCTATTATATATGGTGCAGCCTCGCGTGTACTATTAGTTCTCTCAGGCAAGATGAATCAATGGCAAGACAATAGCCGTCATTGATGCGACGAGGTAATTCAGATAATATTTACCAGAGATTATTATCTATACAATAGAAACACAATCCTACCACTATGTACTCGATCGTCTGTAGTCTTTTATCATTGTCCCTTTTCTGAGGCTGAAGCCTCGCGCTACCTCGAACACGCCAGCCTCGCCTGCACGGCTGCGACAAACGGTATTTCCGATCTTTTCATTGGCTCAAACCAAAAATCCGCACACGACGCTAAATCCATCTGATGAAGCGCACCAGGGCCATGGTCACAGGACTGAATCTTAGCAGCAGACGGTTCAAGACGCTGGTAATGGGAATATTTTTAACACAACAAAGGCCAGGAGTGACAATAGCTCGCTACGGATCGGATCTTTTATTTGTTCCATTAAACATATATTTATCTCAACTTGATTACCGTCGCCAGGTTTTCTGCAACGACAATCACTGCACCGACCGTGAAGCTCTGTCAACACGATTCTGATCAAAACCAATTCTCAGAAGCTACGAACAACACCACACTCTCATACGCATCCTGCAAATATCTACAGACTTTGGGCTTCGAACAATTGGCGACGCAGAATATCGCGAGATGGCAACCAGTCAATCTCCGATCCTATCACTGGCCATAGACAGAGACGACAATGCCCCTCCTGCCCAACCTCTCTCGAAGAGAGACAAGCGCCGCACTGCGTTGATTGATCGACTCAACGACATCACGATGCAGTTTTCGGCGAATAAAGACCAGTATTATCGTGAGCAACTGGGTGTTGTTCAGCAGGACATTGCCTTGATTCTCCATGCAATCCCCTACGTGGAAGACCCGACTAAAGAATCAACTGTCGAGCTGCTGGCAGTCATCCAAAAACTTACCAGGGGCGACCCACGAGCCCTCCAGTCTGTCAAGGAAGGAGATCTCCAAGGCGTTGGAGGGAGAATATACCATGAGTTCAGAGATGAGATTCAGGACGCCATGGAGCGTCGAGATGCCGCTTTATCAGCGTATGCAGTAAGTGGAAGAACCCCTCAGTTAAATCTCAACTATCACTGACACGTCTCTCTCAGTTCGAGCACAAAAGCAATTTCAGTGAACTCAATACCAGTTCGGCATTTTTGACGAAGCTCGCTGGACGAGAGCATTCGGCTCTCGCCAGTACTATTCGCGACCGACTCATAAATTCGATTACAGAAAGAAAGCGAAAGCTTAACAGAGACATGACAAGCAATGAAGGAATCGACAACTCCAATGCATATCACTACCACCCAGCGCAATACAGTGTTCTCAACCCCACGAGCCCTGGCGGCATTCTTGGGAAGCGTTCATCAAGACACCGCCGAGACCTGGACGATCTGCCGGCAATGCTCGATCCCACCAAGCGCAAACGCCGAGCTGTCGACGACGGCCGGGCGTCTCCAGTCCCGAGCCGCCGTGCGCCAATCGACCTGCACCAGATTGGCTCGAACACACCTCTCAATAGATTCACAGAGAAAGCCCAAGACCCTGAGTACCCGCTATACAGTGTCGACAAGCTCTTTACTGAGAAAGAGTTGTCTCTGCTTGAGCGCCAGGCTGCCGAGGCAGCGCACAAATACATGGTCCGCCATAAATTCAACGAAGCAGCGACACGCTCCCAATCCGACAGTGACGGTTCTCGCAATGGCGACGCCGACCAGCGAAACAATGACTCCACACCCGACTCGCCCCTGATTGCCCCAGCCATGGACCGCACAACACGCTCAACTCGCGGCATCGGCGGAGCGACCAGCGGCTTCATTGGCTCAACGGGAATTGAAGTGATCGCTGATCTCACTCTACCATCCACATTCACCGGCCAGCTGAACCAGATGCCTCGTCTCCCCCCGCCATTGTACCCCAGCATGACCAAGTTCTTCGGCTCCACAAAGGGCGATAACATGCGCCCCAACCTCACCGAGGGCGTAGCCGGCGACGAGCTCAACCAAGACATGAACCGCATCGAGTGGGGCAAGCGCGTGAACTCCCAACTCAAGCCCGGAGCCAGTCTGGACCAGGACGTCGAGACCGACAAGGGCACCATCCCCGGCGACCGCCGTTTCCTGGCCGCCGCAATCGCCGAGCCGGGAGTGTATCCCGTGTGGCTCAGCGGCAAGAAGAGGGAAGAGCGCATCGAGAGCGAGTTCGGTGTCGGGAAGCGTGCCGCGGCGCGCCTGGGCCTGGATGCCGAGGAGATGGGAAGCACGGCGATGAGCAAGCAGAGTAGTCGTGGTGGCAGTGAGGCTGGGGGCGTGGAGATGAGCGGGGAGGGCTCGAGGCGGAAGGCGAAGAACAATTAGTGTTGTTTCTGGGCTTTACATTACGAATTACGATCAATGGATATGAGTAGCGTCTTGAGTCCTCCCGGCGCGGGCTGGTTGGTTTGAAAATGGGATATGGAGTTTTTTCTCTTACTGGGTATTATTGCTTCCTGGAGTTTTGTCATCCGGGTTACCCATTTGGATTTTGTGCACATAATTGGGATGCTTCGGTATCATATTTAGATTTGGCATTGCGTGGATTTTCGGTGCAGTATACATACACCTGCAGCTTGAAGACAAGACAGACCAGTACAAGCGTTCATTAGATACAAACAATTCACAAAATTTAACAAAGCAGACAGAATGAAGAGGAATCTCTGAATTTTATTTTTGAGGAAATCTCATTAAGAGTTCATGCCCAAATACACCCCCTAAATACGCCATTGAGTACAGCCATATCCATGTACGACCGCTGTGCACATATATGATACAAAACGCCAAGCAATTACAGAAAAAGAAAAGCGTAACTCTCGCCCTCTCTATGCCTTGCTCTTCTTGCTCTTCTTCTTCTCCTTCTTCTCCGACTTGTCAGCCTTCACCTCCTCGGCATCCTCGCTGGCACCGCGCTTCCGCTTCTTCTCCTTCGATCCGTCAGCGGCAGCAGCCTTCTCCTCGGCCTTCCGTTGCTTCTTGAGGTCCTTCTTGCTGACCACGAGAGGAGTGCCGTCGGCGTTTAACTTGATCTCGCCACGCTCAGCCTTGCGCTTGTACTTGGCCACGCTTATTCCGGCGGCCTCGGCAAGAGCGCCGTACTTCTTCTCGTCGGTCTCGCCCTTCTTGGGGGTCTTCTCCTTCTTGGACTTCTTCTGCTCCTTCTTGGACTCCTTGGGGGTGCTGCTGGTGGCAAACTTGGCGTCTTCCATCTCAACATCCTCGTCAGACTCCTCGGACTCAGACTCAGACTCGACCTCTTGGATGAGCTTTTTGTCCTTCATCGAGGACTTCTCCTTCTTCTCCTCTACAGCGGCGGGCGCATCGGAAGCGATTCCGTCGGCATCAGCGTTGTACTTCTTTGCCTCCTTCAGCTCCCATTTGCCTGGCTTGTCCAGAGCCTTGCCGTCAGGGCCGACAGCCACGCCTCTTGGAAGAAGCGGCTTGCCCTCAAGGCCACGAAGGTGGCGCTCGATCTTTGCGCGGGAAAGGACACCAAGAGCAGAGCGCTCCTCCTCATCGACATCATCGCCCTTGCCTTCACCCTGTGCGCTCCAGTCTGAAAGAGCATCGACACGGAGACCGATGGCAGCCTTGGCAGCAAGCATACGGGCGATTTTTCCCTTGTTCTTACCAGTCGCCTGTCCGACGAGGGAGGCGTGGTAGATGAGACCGTACTTGGGTGTGTCGTGCTTGGTCTTGAGAGCACGGAAAAGAGCCTTCTCGGCACCAAGAATTTGGATGGTAGAGGCAGGCGACTTGGCAAGGTTCATTAAAGATCCAGCGTGTGCGATAAGTCTGGCACCGACAAGCTCACCGACAAGCTCGGTAAGGTTGGGGGCAATGGCCTGCATACGGGCGCTGAGATAGCTGGACAGTTGCTGTCTGTACTCTGTGAACCCAACGACTTGCTCGGCGAGGAGCTGAATGTTGTCCAAATCCTCGGGTGTGATCTCGGTACCCATGGAAACCTCAGCGGCGGCCTTAACAGCGGCCTCAATCTCCTCTGGGAGGATATCCGAGAGGTCAGTGGTAGCGGCGTTCGTGCGCATACCCATCTTCAAGATGATTCTGGCGATGGCGAGGTTGTCGTTGATGATACGGGCCATCTCAGGGAAATGCCATCCGTACCATTCCTTGACACGCATAGCGTAGGTGTTGAGCTCCTTGTCCAAGTCGTCCAAAAGTGCAATGGCTTGAACGATCATGGTGTCGACCTTGTCGGGAGAGAACTTAAGCTTGTGGCGGGACAGAGAGTGCGACAGACCAAGGGACATGGTTGAGATGTTCTCTGGGAGGAGGCCCGGAATGAGCGCTGGGAGGTTCTCACGAATCGCACGGAAAAGCTCGTTGGAAGAGGAGTCGGAGATTGGGGTGAGAGTCACCGATGGCAACTTGTTAATTGCTTGCCCGAGTTTTGGGTCGGCAACAGCCAGTGAGGCCTTCTTCTCGTCCTTGATTGAGTCGAGGAGCTTGGCCAGCATGGGAGTGACCTTGCCATCGACCAACGACGCAACTTCCTCGAGGGCCATAGCGGCACTATCGAACTTCTGGAAAGTCTTGAGTTTGAGCCTGGAAGAAATGGAACATTAGTTAAGAACGCGCAACACCAATGGCTCGAACATCATGGCCATTGTGCACTTGCTGGTAAAAACTTACATGCTGCACACACCCTCAGCCGTGCCGGCCTCTGTTGCGAGGTTCTCATTTTTCAGAAGTTTCTTGTCCTTCGCCTTGAAGAGCGCATATCCTGCGCTCGTCTCCGTAAGTATAAACAGCGTCATTTTGAAGGGTGGCGGTTGCTGTTGCCGGAAGCGTGGGGAAGTCGTCGTTGGAGAGAGCTGTTTTGCTGAGCGCTCTTGCTCCAGAAGTTTTTAACTTTTCAAAATGTTAGAGGCAGACGGGACTAGCGCGGATTGGCGAAAGTTTGTACTTATTCGGTCACGTGATTTGATGGTAGCTCAGGTGGAGCCTTGGGAGCTTCACAAGACGTTGAACACCCACCCACTCTCAAACAACCACCAAGCCTTCAAGATGGAGGGCCTCTTCTTCAATGTTAACAATGGGTAAGTAGTCTTATGAGTTTTTCGGGATTGTTTCTGACGTATCTGGCAGCTACATCGAGGGAATCGTCCGTGGCTACCGCAACAGCCTCTTGACGAGCCAGAACTACAACAACATGACACAGTGCGAGACTATTGATGGTGGGTCATTCTATATAATACTCATGACAGAAAGGATATTGATGTTTTAGATCTCAAACTTCAACTAGGCCCTGCATATGGGGATTTCCTTTCGTCTTTACCTCCGAACCCCTCCACTTCTTCTCTCGCAGCAAAGACGACAGACAAACTGATATCGGAGTTCCGCTATCTGCGAGCAAATGCTGTCGGGTCGCTGGCAAAGTTCATGGACTACCTGACGTACGGTTATATGATCGATAATGTTGCGCTCCTCATTACAGGGACGCTGCACGAAAGAGACACTAGGGAACTAATGGAGAGATGCCACCCTCTTGGCTGGTTTGAGACCATGCCGGTTCTCTGCGTCGCCACGAATATGGAGGAGTTATACAACAGCGTGTTAATCGAGACACCTCTTGCGCCTTATTTCAAGGGCAGCCTGAGCCACCAAGATCTTGACGAGCTGAACATTGAAATTGTTCGAAACACACTTTACAAGAACTATTTGGAGGACTTCTACAACTTTGTCACCACGGATTCTGATATTGCCGGCACCCCTACGAGCGAAGTCATGTCAGAAATGCTAGAGTTTGAGGCCGACCGCAGATCGATTAACATTACGCTGAACTCGTTCGGCACTGAACTATCAAAGCAAGACCGCAAGAAGCTGTACCCAACCTTTGGCAAGTTATTCCCCGACGGGATTCTGATGTTGTCGAGAGCAGATGACATTGAAGGTGTACGCCTAGCTGTCGAGGGTAACTCGGATTATAAGTCATACTTCGACCAAACAGGGCTGGGACAAGGTGGTGGTGTTGGCGCTGGAAACATGAGCGGTGGTGCGGGGAGCGACACCAAAAGCTTGGAAGATCTCTTCTATCAAAAGGAGATGGAAATTTCCAAGAATGCCTTTACAAGACAATTCACATATTCGATTGTATATGCATGGATTAAGCTGCGGGAGCAAGTAAGTCGAACCTATTTATATCACAAGTTGTTCAAGGTCTAACATATGATCAGGAGATCCGCAATATCACTTGGATTGCAGAGTGTATAGCACAGAATCAGAAGGAAAGGATTGGGAACTATATCAGCGTATTCTAGCCATATAGTTAGGCTTTCGATACGTCGTCCTGCTTTTATTTTGCACGGGTTAGAAAACAGTGAGATAGGCGCAATAGGCGAATGGGACACTGGTAGTTTTACATAATTCACAATCGAGTCTACCTACTCGATTCTTATTGTACATTGCGCCTTAACGACATATGCTGCTATTTTACAAACTGATCTCACCCTTCCATGTTCCTTCGGTCAGACCCAACGTCGCAATTAGGTTCTGCCAACGATCACCTCCTCGCTCCTTTCTCCTGAGGTACTGTAACAACTTCTGTCTCCTATGCACCAATAGTCTGAGGTTCCTCTTGTTGGCCTTATCCTTTTGGCGCCCCTTCAACAACATGTGGTCTGCAAGGACCTTGATCTTGGCCGTCAAAATGGCTATTTGAACTTCGGAGCTACCAGTGTCTGGACCAGCACGGGGTGTCTTCTCCATCTCCGACTGTGCCTCAGCAGCTCCAGCCGCACGAAGTCTCAGGACACCATCGGTGTTGTGGCGGCCAAAGGTATCAATGCAACGTCGGATATTGGCTCTCGTCCTATCTTTCTGGTTTCCATTCTCCAGCGCCAGAATGCGCTGAACTGCTACGGTGGCTCGCTCGTGATCTTCGGCATGCTTGCGGATCTCCTCGGCTTCCCGTACTGGGTCGATAATGTCTCGGTTTTCGGAGACGACGGGTTGCGTCAGGATGAATGAGTGCTGCAGGGCTGTCTCAACTTCGGAGGGTTTGACGAAGTGGTTTAGGTGGCGTGTAGTGTTCCTGTCCAGCCCTTGAATGGGGGTGGCAGTGTTGAAGGACTCGACAAAGGGCGTTGTGATGCCACGAACTGGGTCGCCTAGGGCGGCGTCACGCTCCGCGTTCAACTCATCCCGCCTCTTAACATTGGCTGCCTTCCTTTGGCGTGCTTGGGCCAAAGCATATGGGTCACGGTATCGTCGCTTTGTCGTGGACGCATTGGCGACAGATATCTTTGATACTGGGCCGGCGACTACAGGCTTTACAGCAGGTCGTGCGCATACTGCGGAATATTAGTAACTTGTGGCATTATAGAATTGTGTGTACCACATACATGACAGAGCGCCAAAGCGCGCCAGCAACGGTATTTGAGGCGGCATGGCTGGTTGCTATACTTCCTCCTGACCTGAATCCCGGCCTCATCAACACAGCTATTTTCTCGGGCGTCGCCAATGGTTAATATGCACTAGCCTGCGTTTGGGTTAGTGGGTTTTACAAAACGCTAAACCCTTTCAGGCCTTGTCGCGAAACCCTACGAGGGCCGACGCACACTGAATATCGCCAAAAAATTATCGTGAATTTTTCCTCCTTCACGTCTTTTTCCTCCTCATCTTCCGTCAATCACAACACCACGGTCTTACCAGGTACCAGATCAACCGTCAAAATGGCTCCTTCTCAACTCCCCCCGATCTTCAATGCCACCTCCCAGGACATTGAGATGCTCCTCGCAGCTCAGTGCCACTTGGGCTCCAAGAACATGCAGGTTCACATGGAGAACTACCTCTGGAAGACTCGCCCGGATGGAATCAATGTCATCAACATTGGCAAGACCTGGTAAGAGACGCTCTAATATGCTACGCATAGTTTCTGCTATTGCGCTGGAATTTGGTATTAACGTGTACGCTTAGGGAGAAGATTGTCCTCGCTGCCCGTATCATCGCGGCCATCGACAACCCCGCCGACATCTGCGTTATCTCCGCTCGCCCATACGGACAGCGCGCTGTCCTGAAGTTTGCCCACCACACCGGTGCCGTCGCCATCGCCGGTCGCTTCACCCCCGGTAACTTCACCAACTACATCACCCGCTCTTTCAAGGAGCCCCGTCTCATCATCGTTACCGACCCCCGTACCGATGCCCAGGCCATCAAGGAGGCTTCCTACGTCAACATCCCAGTCATTGCCCTTTGCGACACTGACTCCCCAACTGAATTCGTCGACGTTGCTATCCCAACCAACAACAAGGCCCGCCACTCCATCGGTCTCGTCTGGTGGATGCTTGCCCGTGAGGTCCTCCGCCTGAGAGGTACCATCGCCAACCGTGAGGCCGACTGGGACGTCATGGTCGACCTTTACTTCTACCGCGACCCTGAGGCCGAGGAGAACAAGGAGATCGCCGAGGAGGCCAAGGCCCCGGGTGCTGAGGAGGTTGGAGCCGGTGCCATCGATTCCGGCTTCGCTTCTGCTGGTGCCGCCGACTGGGAGGTCTCCGGCCCAGCTGCAGGTGCTTTCGCTGCCACTGCTGCCGCGACTGGTGCCGCTGCTACTGCTGGTGCTGGATGGGATGGAGAGGCCGGTGCTGAGTGGGCTGCTCAGCCAGCTGGCACCACCACCGACTGGGCCGCTGCTGACCCAAAGGCCGCCACTGAGGACTGGTAGATGCCTGTCTTCTAGGTCTTATTACAGGTCAAACTGTAGAAAAAGAAACGATTTGCTACCCCATCATGTCGTTGCCTGATTGAGGATTCGCGTGCCTGACACTTATGAGGGAAAGATACTGGGCTGCTGGTGCACTCGTTCGGCGGTTGAGGGAAAGCCCTGTGCTGGCATGTGTTTTGATTCCTTTGTCTTGGGACGCGTACTATATGGAATGCGAAGCTTGTCGGAGGAATTACGCAATAATGCATTACTGGAAGCTGTCCTCGGCCGCATCTATTTTGTGTCATTTGGTGCCATTGTGTGATGTGTATGTGACCAGTGTTTCTGCCTTGGGTGCTATGTTCCGTAAGCTGTTTCTTGCCCCTGCCATATATACTGTACCTTCCTACGATATCATGAATGCTTATCTAGGGGTAGCTTCCCCTTTCGTTGTACCACACCACACCTCAACCTTTCAGTTTCTTCCACGTGAGGCCAGCAGCCTCATCCATTCTGCTTACTCTACTTTCTGCCAGAGATGTGCACGTGCATTTATACAGCCTGCCAGTATCACCAGCCTAAGCCCAAACTTGGAGTCTCACGCACCATATCCGGAAGTTTCATGGGCAACAATGCCATAATAAGTACGTATCATTAAAGTCATATAAACAGGCTAACCCACCAAAACGACTAAGAAAGAACCTCCAAGACGCCCAATCGATCAATACAATGGCCCAAATAGGCAAAGCACCCACCCAAGCGTCCAAATCCCTTCCTGAAAGGGCAGAAAACCCCCCCGAAACAGCGCTAAATCACCCTTTCTGGGCGACTGGGACGCCCTTCTCGCTCAAAACCCAGCAAAAATAGCCAATCCAAAACCCGATTTTCGCCCCGATTTTACCCCTCCGCACCCCAAGCCAGCCCAGGCGCCCTAGCCAGAGCGACCCCCCCTGGCTATCCCCTCGCAGCTCCCCCCTACTAGCAGGATCTGCAGCCCTAGCGCTAACTCTCAAATCAGAAGCTCGTAATGGTCGTGATAAAGCAGCAGCGAGTGTGCCGGACAAGGTTGTGCGCGGCTATTTGCGGGGGGAGGGGGTGTTCCGCTCCGCTCCGCCAGCCACTCCGCAGATGGCGACGACGACGGTTTTTACGACGCCGACGTAAACAAAAAAAGATCAATTGTGAGGGATTGAAAAAAGGAGGTTTCCCTGGTGACAAAACCTAGTATTCTGGTGATGGGTAACGCGCGCGGGCCTGTTTGTACTCTTGGGGGTGCTTTCGCGAGGTTTTGCTTGTGAGAGCACTGGGAATGGCATTAGCTATGTTCTCAACTTTCCTTGCTTTGAAAGTTTGAAAACGGCGAGATTCTGTTCTTTCTATCCGTTGCAATTTGAATCGCAACTGGTAGAATTTCGCAGGTCTCATTTGGAACGGTCCAAAACCGGTGAAACCAGCATTCCAGGACAATAGAGTTCTAGATTGCAGATCAAATTAACGGTAAAACTTACGAAACGTGCTTCTGGCTCCACTCCAAATCCCTCTTCACCTCCTTGACATCCTGGAATCCAGTCTGCATTCTGGCGCGAGATTTCGCCAGACGAGCCTGTGCTTTTGCGCGCAGCTCCTCAATCTCGCGCTGCTTGTTGTTGAGTTTGCCGGATCTGTAATTTAGTCAGTTATGCATTCATAGATTTCGCCGAGAGAAATTATCAATCAGCTATCTCTTTTTCCGCGCGCTACAGAATCCAAAATGTTGAATTCTCACTGGAAGTGAAAAGGGGGCAGTTTCGCTAATGGCGGGGTAATTAGGGGTAATGCGCCGAGACCCCCAAAAGAAAATAGAACTCACGCCTGTGCTTGGGTCGCCAAACTGCGATCCAGCGGAAGTGGGTCAAAGATCATGTTGGAGAATCGCTCGCTGACGTATTCCTGGAGATCGATTCCGTTCGCTGAGTTCCTCGTCTCGCACTCGCTGCTGGCGTAGGAAGGAGTAGTGCTGTATCCAGAAACCGAGTATGATGGCCCAGTAGCTGAGCCGGAAGTGACCGAATCAGCGGTCTCTGGTGGTGAGACGGCGTAGCTGCGGCTAATAGGTGCAGGGTGATAATATTGCGACTTGGAGGTCATGGCGATGGGGGAGGTGACGGAATAAGTGTAAGTGGCCATTTTGATGGTTTGATAGAAACAATAAATTGAAACTGTGCGGTTTGAGAAACGGTGGCAGGAGGGATGATAGCGTTTGGAATATGGATGTTAGATGAACCGAGGTTTGGTATAACCTTGGTGTATAGACAAGAGTATGTGATAGCGGTGGGGTGGTGGGTGTTTCTGTTTGCTGGTGAGACGACGAGGTGTGTGAGTAAGGTGCTTGAAAGAGTATGTGCTCTGGGTAGTTACTGTGCAAACGGGTATGTGAATGTTAGGAAAGGAAGGAGGAAAGTCCTCCATCGAGGATTCTGACCTCCCTTTTATACTTTTTCCTCATTCTTCCTCGCTTCGGGGACAGGCTCGATGGAGGAAGGTTGAATAGGTTTGACCCTATTCCTTCCCTTTGTGTCCTCGTGTCATACTCTTGACCCCGCTCGAGGGACTCCAGAGATAGGCTGAACACCCCCCTTCCCCCATCCTCCTCCTCAGTTCCGGAAGCTCCGCTCTCCTTAGCCGCCGTTCCCGTCCTTCCAAGGTCCTATTTCCTGTAAGTGTGGTGGTCCGGCCATGGACCCCGGAGCACCCTGGTTGACGCCATCTACGGGGATTGGTCTCAGACGCAGTTTCTATTGATCACAGATAGCCGTCATTCGAGTTTTGCTCCGTCGGCACACCTGGTATTGGTGGATAAGGGGAGGGGATGGGGGGGACGGTAGACGGGCATTGTCCAGTCAGATGCTGGTCTCAGGGAGCGAAAGTTGTGAGGCGACTTGATTAAGGCGATGATACACTTCAAGCGCGGTGACGCTAGTCGGGCTGGATAAAGCAGCACTGGAAAGTGGGAGAATGGGAGAATGTGGGAAGATCCTATGAAGGTTGTTGTCTCAGCATTGATATTAACATGCCCGATATTGATATTGGGGACATTTGTGGGAAATGTATGGGAAATCCCAAGGGCCCAGGAAAACAGAATAATCAATGATGTCAGGCAGAAATGCATCGTCGGGCTGTGCGTGGGCATGGGCGAATTGTGTGTCCAAAATATTTAATTTTTTAATGGAAAAAAACATAAATTCGTCCCTGACATCACTTTGTAATGTCCGATCGGAACCCATCAAACAGATAGCTTGGAAATGCCATTTTCTGCTGTGATAGGCTAAGTGATACAACTGCGGTATCAAAAAACCTTTGTGGCTTTGTGTTATGGGAACACAGAGTCTTCCCCATGCATGTTACAGTACAGTCAGTACAAATTTTCGGGCAAGTATCATGCTCCCCGCGGCACGTTTTCCCCCTAGACCTCAGCACCCTCAGCACTCAGCTAATACATTGGAACGGAATGCCACAAGGCTGCATTCGTTGGCTAAGGACGGGGTAAGCCCGCATATTTTCTGCGATCAAATGAGGTGGCCTATACATGCCAGGAACCAATGAAGCTGAACGAGGCGACTGGCACCTGTGGCACGAAACATGGGCTGGACACAAATTCCAAAATATATCGTCACAACCACTGAAGGAATTCGTGCATCGGAAGGGATACTGACGAAACCATGCCTGGAGGCACAAGGCACAACAAAGTCTCAAAACGTGGAGTGCTGCCTAGTGGTAATTGGAATATTCGTCTACATAATACATGTGATGTGCTATTCGTTCTGTCCAATGCTGAGTGTGTACCAGATCTTTCCTGACCTTCTAACAAAAGACCTTGAGGAAGCCCCAGATGCCGATACCACTCAGAACTGGTATGGTTAGGTTGTCATCCCAGCCAAAGATATCGACAGCTTCACTGGCCGCTGCAACAAAACCCGTCCACACACTCATTACTGCAAGTGCAACTCCTCCTCCAATTGAGCTCTGAGAGTCAGTGAGGCTCAGACCATTCTGGATGGCGCCAGGGAGTCTCAGTACACCCGTGAACATAAATGGCCATTCGTCATCACCAGGGAACGGTCCAGTTCGTGGGGCCAACCATCCCCAGAAACCCACAGCAGTCACAACACCGACAATAAATGCAGCGGCAGTGCCAGCAAGGGATTTCCCTTTCCTGATCCGTGGAGTGAATCTGCCCCAGGCCCGCCCGAAAGTGCTTGCAGCTGTATCACACCAGCTGAGGAGGAGTACTGCAACAACACTGACGTCTTTAGGAAGGAAGTAGAGCACGGTCCATGTACCGAGTAAATACCATATGACGCCGTTCCATGAGTTGTACTCCGTCTCGCGCATGAGAGCACCGAGTGCCCTTACATATATTCGATTCAGGTATGGGAACCTAAACCTTAAATAATCCGTCGCGGCGATAGGTACAAGTGCAGCCATCAGATAAGGTGGGATGGCGCTGGTTTGCTTTCCAGAGACGTATGCCCATAATGTGAAGAATCCTATCGACACATGCAGTGCTTTCCTGGGTACTTCGTGCCTGTGAATAAAGGCGCGGAATTGTTTATGGATCGGAATCAAGCCGAGAGGGCTCGGGCTGCGACTGAACTCGCGCCAACTCCAGGCCGTCGACGGTGACAGCTTTGCTGGACTTAATAATGCCTCATCTTGTATTTCTGGCGCCCCGTTGGGCTGGGCATTGGAGATTCCACTGGTCTTGCGAACCCTGACCGGGCTTCTGCTCTTCGGCCTCGGCCTTCTGCCAGTCGCATCGGTGCTGGAGTCTGATGACTCGTCATCGAGATCTTCATGAATAGCCTGAGGTGTATTTACGCGCTTTCTCGCGGATGCGCGTGTCATCGGACCAGAATATCCATCCTGTGACGTCTCGGATGGGGTGGGCGACGGTGAAATCACCCTCGGAGTTGCCGGGATCGCGCGCGGAGGCATCATATGGTCAAAGGTCGGTAGCGCCCAGCAAGGTGCAACGCCGACGATAGTTCGCCGGTTATTTTGCAGTCGTAGTATATTATATGTAAAGTGGAGTTGAGTGTCGTGTGTCGTTAGGTTCGTAATTGTAGTGGTGGACTGTGCTATTGGCTCCAGTGGAGCGATAGGTACAGAGCAGGGCTGCGTTGCATCTTCATAGAAATGGAGATTCTGCCTACTATTTCGTGAGCTGGCTGCCACGGTTATCTTGTTATAGGGAATAGGACGTGAGAGCAAGTGAAGGGTGTCGTGGTATAGAAAATAACGTGGGTTGGTTGCTGACGACCAGGTACAGGCACAAGGCCGCTAAGATTGTAAAAAAAGTGACGAAAATGTTGGATGACGGCATCCTCCTTCTGGTAGGTCCGAGGCGCCGACGTATAACATTTTTACGATGACAATTTTTTGGTTTGGATTCACCGCGAGGTCGTTAGAAGGTGTTAGAAGGTGTTTTATATGCGTGCAGAGTTTAGCTATCTGTATACAGAGTTTTAATAGAGATGTCTGCATTTGTTTTACCTGGTCCCTGACCTCATTTCTCCAATTCTTTATCACAGGTGGGGAAATCAACAGCAGGCATGTGGAATGGGTGCCATTAGTCACGTGCGCTATCGATAACGATAAGAAAATTAATTCAGTGCACATTTTCGACCACGACCACATATCTTTGATACGGCGGGGAGCTTCGATACGCTCAAACTGAGGAAAAAGCAGACATACGGCGACATGCCAACAAAGGATGTGACCAAGAAGGATCCCCGGGCGTGGGATTCGCTCACTCCTCCACTGTCCGATTGGACTCTCAATGCGATTAAGACAATGGGCTTCACGCGCATGACACCAGTCCAAGCCTCGACAATTCCACTGTTCATGGGGAATAAAGATGTTGTTGTAGAGGTTCGTTGGAATGCTCGGATTAATTGCCAAAAATAATAACTAACAAACCTAGGCTGTTACTGGAAGCGGAAAGACTCTGTCGTTTTTAATACCAGTAGTTGAGAAGCTACTTAGGCTCCAAGAACCACTGAGGAAGCATCACGTCGGCGCAATAATCATCTCTCCTACTCGAGAGTTGGCTACCCAACTACACACCGTCCTGTTGTCGCTCCTTGGTTTCCACGCCCCGTCAGTAGCAAAGTTTACTCCATCCGAAGTTGCGACACCTTTCCCCGCGTCGACACTCTCAGTTGTCCCCCAACTGCTCCTCGGAGGAACAACAACCCCAGCCCAAGACTTGAGCGCATTCCTCAAGAACAGCCCAAACCTTCTCATTTCCACGCCCGGCCGCCTCCTCGAACTGCTATCCTCTCCGCATGTCCATTGCCCTCAGTCGTCGTTTGAAGTTCTCGTTCTTGACGAAGCCGACCGTCTCCTTGATCTGGGATTTAAAGATGACCTCCAGCGCATTCTCGCCCGCCTACCAAAACAACGCCGCACTGGACTCTTTAGTGCCTCTGTTTCAGAAGCAGTTGGCGAAATTGTCCGTGTTGGTCTCCGCAATCCCGTCAAAATCGCTGTGAAAGTGAAATCTCTCAGCGGCGATGATAAACGAACGCCAGCATCATTACAAATGTCCTACCTACCCACACGCCCGCCCGAGAAGATACCCGCATTACTCTCACTCTTGGAAAATCTAGACCCCAAACCACAGAAAACCATCGTCTACCTTTCCACCTGTGCAGCCGTCGACTACTTCCAGCATCTCCTCATCGCTGTTCTACACCCTACCTTCTCTCTGGTTCCCCTCCACGGCAAACACCCTCCTGCCGTACGCAACAAGAACTTCTCTAAATTCCTCAACTCCGTTAGTCCCATGGTCCTTCTCACTACTGATGTGGCTGCCCGTGGCCTCGATATCCCACAAGTTGATCTGGTTGTCCAAATCGACCCACCTTCCGACCCCAAGGCTTTCCTCCATCGTTGCGGCCGTGCTGGACGCGCTGGCCGCAAAGGACTGAGTGTCATTTTCCTGCAGCCAGGCCGAGAAGAGGACTATATCCCGTTCTTGGAGATTCGCAAAACGCCAATCAGTGAGCTGACGACACCAGAAGTGAAGATAAGTGAGAAGGACGTGCGCACCATAACTGAGCGTTTGCGCAAGGAGGTCTTAGATGACCGCGCCCTGCATGACAAGGGTCAGCGTGGCTTCGTGTCGTGGGTTAAGAGCTACAGCAAGCATACAGCCAGCAGTATATTCCGGGTCGCAGACTTGGACTGGACTGATCTTGGCCATGCGTGGGCATTGGTGAAGCTCCCAAAGATGCCGGAGTTGAACAAGTGGGATGGAGACAAGAGCCTGGGCGTTAAGCTCAACATGTCTGAGTATGAATACAAGGATAAGATCCGGGAGAAGGCACGCATAGTTGCTATGGAGGAGGCGAAGAATGCGGGTCCGTATGTGCCAACTGCAGAGCAGCTTGCAAGGAAGAAGGAGCGGAGTGCGTGGAGCGCGAAGCACGATGCACAGGATCTGAAGGAGGACAGGAGGGAGAAGAAGAAGAGGAAGAGAGAGGCGGAGAGGGTGGACAAGATGACTGCCGAGGAGAGAGAGAAGGAGAACGAGCTGCTGTCGTTATTGGAGCAGGTGAGGAAGAAGACGAAGATGGAGCAGAAGGCTTTGCTTGAGTTGGATAAGCAGGAGTTTAAGGGATTTGATTAGTTGAAAGCTTGCTTGCCTGAATAACGATACGACGAGGCTGTATACTTATTGCGTAAAAATATTACCACTTTCATGGAATGAGACCGAAAATTATGTTTGAAATAATAACCGTAAATGTGTACGTGAATTAGGGTGAATGAGCTGTGAAATGATATAATTTGACGTGTTGGTGTTGGTAGTTAGTCTGGGACCTTTTAACTTCTTCTCCCCGCCATTGTACTCCACCTCTCGTCAACAGTCACCACCATGCCTCGTTCCAGGTCGCGGTCACCCGCACCACGGCGCTCGCCCCCGCGGCGACGCAGCCGATCGCCAGACCGTCAAGAAAAACCCCGCGACCGAGATCGCGACAGCGAAAGAGACCGAACCCGCGACCGCGAGCCTCGCGACAAACCCAAGAAGAGCGGCTTCAAATGGAAAGAGAAGCGCCGCGACGAGGACCGCCTCGAGGAGCCTAAGCGCCTTGAGCGAGGCTACCGAAACCGTTCGCCCTCGCCTCGAAGACGTGAACCAGCGGCCAAGGGGTCCTCGGTCGAGGACAAATTCGGTGTTGCTGCCAAGTTTGGGCCGTCGGTGGCTGATAAGTTTGGGAGCTCGTCGAAGACGGAGAAGAGTGCTGCGGCGGACACTTCTAAGCCACCAGCTCGGGCGGCTGCTGCTGCTGCTGCGGCTGCACCGGTTGCAAGTGGTGAGCCTATGATTATCGTCCATATCAATGATCGGTTGGGGACTAAGGCTGCAATTCCATGTCTTGCGAGCGATCCCGTCAAGCTGTTCAAAGCTCAGGTTGCGGCGCGCATTGGAAGACAGCCACATGAGATCATGCTGAAGAGACAAGGAGAGCGACCATTCAAAGATCAACTGACGCTGGAGGATTATGGGGTTAGCAATGGGGTGCAGCTGGACTTGGAGATTGACACTGGAGATTAATTGAAGCTGGTCAATGCTGGGAGGCGGTGGGACGGTATCATGAGGGCGTTTAGAAGGGATTACTGAGTTTACTGTCAGTAACATAGGAATATTAAAGCACTATGGTTCATTCAAGAGCTTTTGGACCGAAATACTGTGATCTATGTTGCAACTTCTGATCTGTTGCTATCCGCCAACTCCACCATCCACCACATATTCCCTTATCGATAAGCCTCGAGTGTTTGTAAATATCCATATGCTGAGCTACCCCAGCACCAAGAGCTTCCTTTCACGGCACAACCAAAGATGCAGACAGCCATTGCCAAATGTTAACTGTCGAACCCACCCTCCGCGTGCGGAGGCCCTCTCCGACGACGGTTGAATATATCGTCTCGACGCGCCCGCCGTCCACGCTCTCGTTCCGCCTTCTGCTCGGCATCTTGACAACCATCCGCGTGCTCCTCCTCCTGAGCATCGCCCTCCTCCTATTCTGCAAATGGCAGCTCTACCCCTCCGCGCCATCGATTCTACCATATTCCCCAACGCCTGAGGTCCCCAGCCTAGACTACCTCTGGCACTCCCTCGCTCTTCTCCATGCTTCGCAACTCGGCCTTGGAGCCACGCACGTGGCGTCTCTCGTCCCTCTTTTCATCCTGCTCCCGCTAGCAGCTGCATTCGCCTATTTGTCCATTCTGCGCATCCACTCTCAGGAGTCCTTGCTGGTCCTGCGCGGTCTTGGGATCCAGACTTGTTCGAGCTCGTCGACGTATCTGACCGGCGCATCGACGCAGTTTATCCCGACGCAGAAGATTCAGGATCTGCTCATTAACGAGGCGTTTCGCGGGTTTGAGGTTAGGTACTACTTGGTTGTGGTTGTGGAGGGGGAAAGGGAGGTGGTGGTTGTGTTTCCCAAAACGTTACCTAGGAGGAGGGTTGTGGAGGAGGTGTGGAGGGGCGGGAGACAGTGTTTATATGGTCGAGCGAAAGCTGTAGATAAAGCTGGGAATGGGAAGGCATAGGAAGTTTCATGTTGGGATGGCATAGATGGAAAGGAACGAGACTACTGATGAATATATGTATTGTTAAATGTTTTACTCGTCTGCGTTGTCGCTGGGATTATTCATCCTCCTGAAGCCCTGCTTCTTCAGGTCCGCAGAATCCTCGAAGCCTTTCCGTACGGCGTACTTCTCATTGATCACCCGGGCCGTCTCCATCAGCGGTTTCTTCATGACTGGAGTGTATTGTCCAGTCAATTTCGGCTTGTTGTTCCCGTCATAGACCTTCTGGCTCCTGACAACCTTGGCCCAGTGATCGCTTGTCAAACCTTCAATGGCACCTCCTTGCTTCGCGACTGCACCCAGGAGGTTACTTGCAAGAACCTCGTCAATCTTTCTCTCTCGCCAGACTTTCCAAAGATCTTCCATTAGGCCGGTCGTACCCCATTTCGTATCGCCGCGGCCGGGCTCGTCGCCCATATGGAGCCATTGGATTGCGTTCTCTCGGCTGGGGTCATCTTCATGAGGGAAGACGCAGTCCCAAAGAACGAGTGGTGAATCCTGTGCCATTTCATAAGCTGGCCGAGAAGGGTTCCTCTCAACGTCAAGAAGCTCCTTAATGATAGTTGGCTTTTCCAGGCCCTGGCCAACCAGAAAGAGAATAGCCACCATGCAGCGGACTTGATGCCATAGGAATGCCGAACCGTGGAGAGTGAAGGTATACACTTTTGGAGATATCTGTTCGCTTGAGCCAGTAATAGAGGCAGCGGGAAGAAATTCCTTCTTCCCAACAAAGTCCAATGTTGGGGTTGTGTCGTCCACTTCCAAGATATCAGCGAAAAACATAGTCCGCTCGAAATTCTCTATCTGTTTGCTGCCGTCGATCTTGCAGAAGTTCCTGAAATCGTGAGATCCAACGAAGTAACCAGCCGCTTCACGCATGGCATCGATATCGAGCCATCCATCCTTGACATCAGTGTTTTTATTAGTACTTTTGATGTTTGGATTCTCTGGTGGCGGTGCGAACGCGGGTTGCGTGAAGAAGTACTTATACTGCCTTTCTTTGCAACTGAACCTGGCTGAGAACCCGAGAGGCGGCGCCGGGCACCATGCCAATATGCGGATATCCGGAGGGAGAAGGCGGTTTAATAAGTGGCAATATGGTAGCTCATCCGCAATCGGATCGAAGTTGAGAGGTTCCTCGAATTCTGGATCATCGATGCTCAATTCCGGCGTGACCTGTGACCTTGACTCTTCAATACTAGGACGGAGAGCAGGCGAAGCCATCTCAAGTGCCCCATCACGGGGCTTTGTGTGGCGAAAACCGTCCGTCTCATACTTAGGTCCCTCGGCCGTATACTTTGGTAGAGGCCTATTACTCCTGACTCTCAGGCCGATGACCTGGCCGAACGCACTGACGCCCTTGTCGGTACGGCCGCACTTCGAATAGTCGCATCCATCCCAGTTTATTTCGCCACTGCCATCGTGCTGATCCAGAGATGCGCCTTTGGGGAATATGAGCCGTGCTTTAACGAGCGCCTCCCATATTTTCTCCTCGACAGTTGGTAACCGTGTCTTGTTGTTTAGATGGTGCTCGAAGCCGTTGTAGCCCTTTCCCAGATATGCCAATTTCAGCGCGATGAGGCGGGTAGAGTATCTAGAGGGGTCGAAGGCCTTTTCTGTGCGCACTTTCTTGTAGCTCTTTGCTGGTGTCGCGACGGGATAGCTGTGTGGTTATTAGCTAGGTTGGGATAGAAGTTTGGGTTGCCACCAACTGTGCATTCTTGAGTTTTAAGTTGTGCTCCAGCTCTGTCACTCGTTTGATGAGATTTTCGTGAGACCACTCTTTGTAGTTTATCTTCTCCACAGGCAGGGTTGCCATGTTTTGAAGGGCGAATCTTGCCGCCTTCTTCCTCCTTTCGATTTCAAAATGGGTAAGGAATTGAGGTGGTGAGGCGTGAAAATGCCTATTCTTGGATTCGCCAAGAGATTTCAAAGACTTTCTCCAGTTGCGCAGTTGTGAGGTTCTCATCTCATGGCCTCTGGTGGCCTGGGAGTCCGTTGGGTTCCTGAATCGTACCCCAAAGACTTTTTTTGGGGAGACGGGGAGCGACACATTAATCGCCGAGTCCCTGAACTCTGTGCTCTGCGGTCGCACTATGGGCCTGGCTTATCGATAAGATAACAATGGATTTAGACGTCAGTTCGTCTTTCACTATTCAACCACCATTCGATGGCCAATTCCGATCCCGATTCGCCTGTGGTCTCAATTCTATTCCTTGGCGATGCTGGATGTGGAAAGTCTACGTTCTTCTCGTAAGTCTTGAATCGATCATGATTGATCCAAGCTAAACAAATCCCAGGCGGATAAGCCAAGGCGCCGTGGGACAACAGGCCGACAGACGCATTGCGCCTCTTCGTGATGGCGACCAACCGTTTGTTTATGATATAAAGTTCTGCAATCGCCCGTTTCGCTTTCGACTTTACGACACCGCAAGCCCTGAAAACTGGAAGCTCCTGCGACCCGACGTAGTAGTGCTGTGCTTTGATGTGAGCCAGAGGTTGAGTATGATCCACATGCAGAGATATGTAAGGATAACCTTTCCAATCCCAGCTTGCTATCAGCGAGACTATTGATAGACAGTGCCTGACGTATTTCCAGTGGATCAATGAGACTATCAAGTCATTTATGCAGGAACGGGAGCTTCCAATTATCGTGCTTGGCTTGAAGCGCGATTTGCGTAGCGAGGAAGACCCGAACGGGATCATATATCCCCAGGAAGCATATAGAATTGCCCAAGAGATGAGATGTGATAAGTATATGGAGTGCTCAGCAGTCACAGGCGAGCTTTTAAAGGAAGCTTGGGAAGATATCTGCAAGACTGGGGCACAGACAACGAACAAAGTAGATGGGCTGCAAGGTCTCAGTGAGGGCGGATGCTTGATAATGTAAAGAACCATCCTGATAAATTTTCAGCCACTCTGAAGTTAATTGATTTGTCCCAGCGCCTATATACCCCGTGTGAGAACGCCGCGCAATGCTAAATACCAACCCAACCTTTTATGTTCCTTCTATTGTTGCCCTTCCATCTTTACATCTTCATTCCTTGCCAGTTTCGCTTCATTGTCCTTTTCTCTATGTCCACTTGCTTCGGCTGCCATGATCTGCCTATCCTTTTGATCAGGTGTCCCAAGAACATCTGCAACGATATTAAGGATATCATCGCGAATGCCGTCGACATCTTCGTAGAACCGGTCGTCAAATTCTTGGATCAAGATATTCAGCACCGCAGGGCTCATTGGCCTATTGTTCATAATCATTATTATCTCAGCTTTTGTGAGGTCGTACGGACGAAGGCGCTCCAAGAGAGTACGGATGGTGTCTTTGTTGTATGGCAAAGGCTTGCTCCCCAGTGGAGACGGAGGCTTCTCGAAGTAGTCCATGAGCTCCATGACTATGGTCTGTAGGTTTCCCAGTCCTGGAAACTCTGTTAGCATTCCAGCCAGGAAAGGCATTGAGGGCGGGGACGAGTACATTTATTTGCAGAGTGCATGTCCCGGTTTGAACGCTGGCTATTCTTACCTCTCTTGTTTTTACGCTCCTTCGCATACCTCTCTCTCAATTCCGACAGATGAGTGTAAACTTCATAGTTTGTTAAGACCGCTGACTGGGCCTCAAGGATCTTCATTCTGGTTTGCGACCCCGCGGTGCCGTTGTCTCAGAGGCTTCTAGTTGGTATTCAAACAGTGAAACAGAACCCTGATCAGCCAGACGAGCTACTGCTCAGCCGCCCCTTTATTCTTTGGAGTACGAGATATGAGAGCTTGGATAATATGGAAGCTGCGACCTGGTTGTTTATATGAGCACTGTATGGGCAGCTTGTACGGTGGATTAGCGAAGCCGCGTTTTAGTTTATTGGACACCACTGAGACACCATCGCCGCTTAAGGTAATTACAGTAGCTGTGAATAAAAGAATGGCTTTCGATCTTCCAATACGCCTTTTCATACGCCAGGTACTCAAGAATTAAAATAACGAGAGTAATTCCCATCAGCTTCATTTTTACTATTTGATTCCCAACTACTGCACAGGACGCACGGTCCCTCCTTCAAACTTTTTAACCGCATGAGCAACCTCCAGTAGTTATGCGTTTATTGGAATGAATTCTGCCGAGGCGGTCAAGCTGATTGGGTTTTTAATGCGCCATTTATGTCAAAAGCTCTAACTTTCCGCATTGATTGGGGTGGGGCACAACTTTTTTCCTTGACCTCGCGCCGAAACTACGATTGAGCCGCCTTTCGCAATTCCTCGTTTTCCTCTCCATCCGGAGAAAACAACCTCAAAATTCATGTGTTTTCACAAGCACCAATATTCCAAATGTTGAAAGCAAACTTTACATTCGAAAGTGCTTAACCACTACTCTCCCCTCTGCCTTCACCGCATCCTCAAGTCACCCCTCATACCGACTTTTCCTTATCCGTCGAACGTAAACGGGAAACATCGGACAACAAAACAATTCACCATCTGCTCAACAGCTTCTTACCGGCGAACAAGTTTGCTTAACTAGCAGACCTCCTACCTTGAAAGAAACAAAATAAATACTCCGACCTTTTCACGATGACCAGAAACATCGTCATACTGGGTGGCAACTCGCATCCTCAGCTTGTCGAGACGATTTGCAATACTCTTGGCGTTGCTGCCTGTGATCGAATCCTCAAAAAGTTCTCGGTTGGTGAAAGTCGACTTGAGATTCAAGACTCAGTCAGAGGAAAGGATGTCTACATCATTCAGTCAGGTGGTGGGAAGGTCAACGACAACTTCATCGACCTGTGCATCATGATCTCCGCTTGCAAAACCGGCTCGGCAAAGCGAGTCACCGCAGTCCTACCGCTATTTCCCTACTCGAGGCAGCCGGATATTCCTTATAATAAGATTGGAGCGCCTCTAACCCGAAATCCAACGGACGTTAACCGGACTGACTTTTCCTTCGAGAGTCGTCCAGCTACACCGAGCTTGTCTCAACCACAGAGTCAAGGCTTGACAAATGGCATCGGTAACTTGCACAAGAAGCTTGGAAAGTCGTCATTAGAGGATAACATGTCGAATGGTATTACCCCACCTAGGCGACAAGATACGAGCGATAGCAGCAACGGATCAGTTAGGGAAGAGAAGGGTGCCCAAACACCCCACTTTACGACTCACGACTACGAGAACAACGCAGTCATCAACAACGCCGCATTTTTCCAGCCAAAGCCTGGATACAAGCAATGGGTCGCTCAAGCGGGCACCCTTGTCGCGGATCTGCTTACCTGTGCCGGAGCGGACCACATCATCACCATGGACCTTCACGACCCGCAATACCAAGGCTTCTTCGATATCCCCGTCGACAACCTCTACGGCAAGCCACTTCTCAAGAGATATATCCAACAACATATTCCGAACTTCAAAGATGCCGTTATCGTCAGTCCAGATGCCGGCGGTGCAAAGCGTGCCACAGCAATTGCCGACGGCTTAAACATGGACTTCGCCCTGATTCATAAGGTAACATAGCCTGCTTCTTGACCGAGGCTACAAACTAATCAAAACCCTAGGAACGTCGACCGACTCGCATCACTGACCGCCAAAACGCCACCATGATGCTTGTGGGAGATGTCGCTGGTCGAGTCGCCATTATCATCGATGATCTCGCTGATACATCAAACACTATTACCCGCGCTGCCAAGCTTGTAAAGAGAGAGGGCGCTACCTACGTCTACGCCCTCCTCACCCACGGAGTCTTCAGCGGCGACGCCATCGCCCGCATCAACGCCAGCGCCATTGACAAAGTCATCGTCACTAACAGTGTCCCACAAGAAGAGCACAAGCGCCTGTGCCCGAAACTGGAAGTACTGGAGATTGGCGGCATTTTCGCAGAGTCAATCCGAAGGGTATACCACGGCGAATCCATCAGCGTCCTTTTCCAGTACGACTAGAATACATGTAATGGAATTACACCAGCCAATCTTGGGAGAGGCAGTTTTCTTTCATGGCGTATATTTTTTCCTCGTTCTTCTGCTTCATTGGAGTTGGGAGGGCGGGTTCGTTAATCCCATTCATTTGACACCATGCGTGGGTATACAGTACAGTGGGCAGTTGCTACAGGACATGATCGGTGCTTCGGCCGAAAAAAAAAAAAACAAGCCCCGTTTACATACCTTTGCTATACCCAAAAAAAAGACTCCGAAGTCCAAAGACGGGGGAGATGAGCGCAGGATATTACGGGCATCTGCGGCTCTGATTTCTACCTACCAGCTTAATTTTGTTCACACTATGAATGTCTTGACATCGTAATTGCACGCTTCCCAAGTGCTGGATACGGGCGTGAGACAGCTTGAGTGGGTAAAGAAGACGCCGAGAAAAATAAAAGATAGTTGAAGAATATGATTGAGCACGGGGAGAAACTGATGCGTGATTTGTTGCAGTGTTATTGTGATTGTCAGCCCAACCTCGAACTAATGTGAATGTGATTGCCCGGCCTCTACGACCATTTACGCCGTCTGTCCCTGACCCCTCTGAGGCCTCTCAATCCACGTCCCAACCTCCGGCAGCCCATTTTCCTTCTCCAGTCCTCTCCAGGGATTATCATTAAAGCTTGGATCGTAATAGCCTATATACCATAGCTCATTCCTTTGCCCCCTCTGGCCCGCATTTTGACTCCTGCCCATTGATGCTCCCGGCGGCCCCATAGTACTTGAAGAAGGTGGCGGTGGGCGCTGTGGTAGTGAGGCCACTGCTGGGATTTGCAGTATCCGCGTCGTCCCCGGCGCTGGTGCTATGCTGGATCCCGGTGGTGCAACAACAGGCGTCTTCAACGCGTTCATAAAAGCTCCAAGTCCAGAACTCTGTGGTTTTTTGGCTTTCTGCTTTTGCTTCGGAGGGACTGGGGCCGCCGAACTTCCTGTCGAGGATAAGATGGCATCGATCTTCTCTTGTGCTTCACGAGCTGCCTGGTTTGGTGGTGGGAGGCTAGTATCAACATAGCCTGGACCTTGCTCGTCTTCATCTTCATCCAGCAGAATCTCATCCTCATTCCTCCCTATACCATCCATGATAGGCGGCGGATGACTGGTGTCCAAATATCTCGGCCCCTCGTCATCCTCACCCGCGTACTGTGGTCCCTCATCATCATCCAATGCAATTTCCTCGTCATTTTTCGCAGCTCCTGCTGATGCCTGTGACGGCACACCGAGCTGTCGTGGCCTTCCCAGCGGAATCTGATTCCCTCCACTGCCCTGCCCCTTTTTTCCCCCTTTGTCTACGGCTTCCAGCTCTTGGTCCTCGATGAAGGCATCGCTCTTGGGGTTGAACTTCCGTTTCTTGGGTGGTCCCTGAGTACCGAAAGAGGAGAAGCCCATAGCTGCCGCCATGGAGTCGGCTTCATCATCGGACGAGGCATATGAGGGGTCCATCCTTGTTGCTTTGAGGAGAAAGTATTACAGGTTTGAAGGTGAGTGTAGTATTGTAGGTCAGGTGACGAGATAGGAACTCACGTGCAGATTCTGGGGAAGAAAGCCAGTAGGGGTCCGTGCTTTACCATGCATTAGGTGCTCCCAACTCGTCTCAGATCTTGGGCTTTGCGCCTGGCCCAGCACTTCAATTTTTTGTACGTCTTGCAAGTTAAGAAATAATATGGCGAGCAAAAGAATTCTTCTACATAGTGTATAATATCCCAGAATGCCCATATAATTCGACGGACCCCCAACTACCGCATTATCAAAATCAGCTTCTCGCGAGACTGTCCCTCTGGAACTATCACCAACTCGCCCCTCCAAAACAATGTCAGACCCAGTCGCCGCCGAAGCAGTTGCAGCTGCGCCCAGTGCTACCACCAGCATCAAAATCCGTGCTCCCAAAGAACGCGGCGCGCCCTTCTCTGCATCCTCCACAACCTTCGTCCCTCCCCGCGACTCTATCACGGGAACCTGGCACGTTACCCACTCCACGCTCCCCATGTGGAAAAAAGCCCGCAACGTCGCCATAACCTACGTACCTCTCTCGGAAGACGCCAGCCCTAAGCTTGACGACACGGTAACCTACCAGGGCCTTACGGGCTCTGGTATCAAGACGGTCTCTGGGATTGATACTCCAGCAGGCGACGGGGCGTGGAGTTGGCGGGGGAAGGGGTGGTTGATGATTGCTAGTAGCCATTGGCAGTTCTTGGGGTATGGCGGGGGAGGAGAGGGAGGAGAGGGGGAAGGTTGGGCTGTGACGTATTTCCAGAAGACGCTGTTTACGCCGGCTGGGATTGATATTTACAGTCGGCGGAAGGAGGGACTGGATGCTGAGACGCTGCAGGGGATTACGGCTGCGCTGGGCAAGAATGAGAGTGAAGAGATTAGGGAGTTGGCGAAGGTGTTGTTTGAAGTGAAAAGGGATTGATTGGGCATTTATGGAAGGGGGGCCCTTCAAGCACGAGATAGACGATGTGTCGAGACAGATGTATAGAGATACCCAAATTTGATCAGTAATTAATAGACATAATCTGTGCAGTGGTAATAAGTGCACACGCAGACATGTAAAAACTGGCTGCCAAAAGGAAACGATCACATGCATATAAAGCAGTGCCGTTTTACAGTTGCCTCTCTAGTGAGATAGAATAACACAATTGATAGTTACACATGCCTCTCGTCGCATGACAGTATATACTGCAATAATCATACAACATAGTCCTTCCCTATTCCCCCTATCAAATCCCCTAGCTATCCCTTTAGCATGCCCTCTCGCTATTGCACATCTATTGCTCAATCTCCCCCAACTCCTTGACCCTCAATTCAGACAACTTCAACACCGTAAACTTGTGCTTGCTAATAACAGTCTTCGTCCTCCGATTCCTCTGCTTCTTCTTAATCTTAATCCGTGCCGGCTCGCCCTCGGTCCCCATCACGATAGCCCTGCACTCGAACACCCTCTCGTCCACGTGTGGTTGCCCCTTCAGTGTGTAGTCTCTGCTGCCAATAGCGGATGCGCGGTTGAGTCGGAGGACGTCGCCGGGCACAACACCAGGCATATGGAATGGGAGACGGACGGTATCTCCTACTGTGAGGAGGTATGGTCGGCCGTGGATGAGCGCCGTTATGAATTTCGACGGTTGCGCATTGAGCAGCGGTAGGAGCTCCTTGACCGATTCGGTGACGGCGTAGGGAGTAGATGGTACTGTCGGCTGGGTGGCTTTGATTCCAGTGGCAGACGCAATGGCCTCAGTCGAGATAGGAGAATGCGAAGCCAGCGGAGCCTTCGAGGTCGGGGGCTCAACGTGCTGTTCTGTCGAGTTGAAGTATCGTGCCTGGCTTGGGAGGAGGAAAGTTGGCGGGAGTGTCAAGGAGGGCACCCGCACCTCCTGCACCGCTCGTCTTAATGCCCTGGTGAACATTTTCGGTCTTGAATGTGGCCTGCGATGCCAATTGCAAGAGCTGGTCTATAAAGGTTGGTAGTTCAGGGCGCTCGAGAATCTCAAAATCTTGCTGACTAAGTAGGCGCTACGACATGAAGTCTTGGCACGCCGATGCTTATCTCTGGGAGAGGATTTGGCACAGTTAGGGGAATGCCATTTGGGATTGTACAAATAATAAATAATTGTAAATGACGTGATTGTCTGAATGTTTCTTTCCCGTTTGAGGTTGTTTGCTTGAAAACCAACTTACTTCACGTTGGTGGCTTTGACTCTTGAAAAAACGTGACAGGACAATGTTATAATATGTACGTCTTCAATATAAATGCTATATATATACGTCTTCGACCAATTAATCTTATTACCTTCGGCCGCGAGCCTGGACCTCGCAGTCTATATTCTCATCTGACCCAATAATTCATCCAGAGACGCCCATTTCCATCTAAACCCTGGACGCTTTATTTCCCATCTTCCACAACCACAGCAACAACTACACATATATCATCGACCTTTCCACCAGTCCACATCTCATGCGGGTAGTGCCTCTGCACCTCTTTCGCAAACGGCCCATCAACCCTCCTATTAATACTGGCCGCCTTAGCTGCGCTCGCTATCCCCATCGCCAGGAACGACTGCAACGATTTAACCTGGTCAGACCCATTCGAATCATCCTTCATAATATAATCGGATAGGCGATTCGTAACGTTGATTCCGTCGTCACTGTGAGCCCACGCGTTTGACCCTACCATCAACTTGCTACAAAGCCGAAGGATATCGTAGCTGTTGAGATTATCCCACACGCCATCTGTTGCAAAGACGAGCACGTCACCGTGGCGCAAGCTGTGCTTGGAGACTGCGGAATCCTTTGGCATATCATCCAACTGCGTTCCTCCAAAAGCTTGGGTCATCATCCTCATCGATCTTGGTATGATGGCCAGTTGATAGGGGGTGTTGAAAGCGTGTGTCTGAGGCTCAGAGTTGTAGTGCACCGCATTCAACCGCAGCTGAAGGAAGCCAGAGTCGCCCAAATTCGCAACATCCAGACTTCCATCGGTCCTCGCGATTGCGACGCAAGCAGTGCTACCGCCTGCTCTAATAGTCTTGTCGTTTACGACATCATCGTACCCTTCCTGCATTAATGCCATCGCACTTAGTGCCTCCCCCGATTCGGTGTCGTAATTATTGGCTTCATATGCCATGTAGTCGCAGAAGGCATGGGAGAAATCCGCCGGGTCCACTCCCGAGTCTGCCCACCCACCTACTCCGTCTGCAACACCCATCGCCACATCGCCGCTGTCACCAAGATGAGAGACAAAGAAAGCATCTTGGCCGGAAGAAGGGCGGTCTTTACGGTTCGTTCGCCGCTTGACCGGGATTGGGCGGGGTTCGAAGTGAAGCACGTTATCTTTCGGCTTGAAGCGTTTGTCTTTGGCTGTGAAGGAGGCTGCAATCCCGTATGAGAATCGAGGTGGTGGGGATATGGCTGACGAGGAGCTGTATTCCTGTCGCTTCGCTATGGGTGTTAGGAGGTTATGCTGCTGCTGTGAGGGTGCTTTCGTTCGAAGAGAGGGGGTTGTAAGGTTTCTTCGTCCTGTGGATCGTTGGGCACAGAGCGTCGGAATGGGATATTTCGCTAAGGCAATTCTCTTCGATGCTGCCGTCACCAACTTGTTGGCTGATATGCGCCGCGCCGTAATGTCCATGGCTGCGAAACGGAAGAATTGATGTCCTGGACTCTTAAGAAATGCAAAGCCCGGGTGGCTTGCTGTCAGGGAACCAAAAACGTGCGCTAAATTGCTGCCATTATCGCTCCTTATATGTATGATTGAAGTCGCGGGCTCTATTATGCGTTGGAGTCGTAGTTCCTGGGCTCGACTGTTGGTAAAGCCAATTCCTGTTTTATGAAAAGGTATTTCAGAGAATTAAGGAAATCGCGGAATTGGAGCGAGGCGCTATCAACATATCGGATGGTAGGGTGCCGCGCTCCGACAGTATGGAGCTAAATATGACAATGGGGTATAGAGAAGGGTCCTGGTATTAGGGTTCTAATGCAGAAAATGAACCTAAGGAAGAATTCCTATGATCGAAATGGCAGTTTTTTGGGATGTGGCCTTCTCAAACAAGAAAGAGATCCATCGTTTTGATGTCCCGTATCGAGTTCGGGGGAAATAAATGTATCAAATCCAGCCTCGTAGCCTCGTGGCATATCTCCAGTTTTGGCCAATTACCGGATCGCGTCACATACAGGGGGGTTCAGACCTCAGCCGCCTGCAACTGTCCCCAACAAGGACCATCGATCGAATAGATCAATTTATTCCCAAAGGGGTTCTCAATAACATTTCCTGGGAACCCTTAATTGAGAGGAATATCTGCATATTTTCTCCCGACGTTTCACACAAATGGGACTTCGTTACTAAAACTGGCCGACTCGAAGCTTGGCCATTACACAGCAGTCGCCCGCAACGACGGTCACATTCACAGCTTCCGACCATGGTGGGACGCGAAGAAGAGGCCGCAGGGCTTCTGGACAACAATCATGGGGCCCAATCAAGGGCCTCAGTCGATTCGATATCTTCAGCATCGACGACTAGCCTAGTGTTTCAACGAATCGATGAACAAAACAAGAGTCAAGCCAAGGTCTCGAGATTACCAGCCCAGAACGGCTCCCGACCCTACAGCGACCATGTGGAAGCGTCCCCAATGCACGCCGAAGAGGAAAAGCAGCAAGACCTCGAAAATGGTCTTTTAACCAGTGGCAAGGGAAACAGCAGGTGGTGCACAAAACTTGTTTGGATTGCTGGGGGAATATTTGTCGGCGCATGGGCTCTGGCAACTGTTATATTTCTCATTCAACATCCCGTATCCGATGCCCCTCACAACCCAAGTGCGCCCAATATCGGCAACGGAAATAAAGTGACCCTACCACAGGTTCTTGGCGGTCAGTGGCGCGCGCAAAGGCACGGCATCAGCTGGATTGAGGGTGCCAATGGCGAAGACGGCCTGCTTCTTGAGCAAGGTGCGAGTGGCAAGGACTACCTCGTTGTTGACGATGTGCGTGGGGATAATGTAACACAGGGTAGCGCTCCGAACAGTGTTACGTTGATGAAGACAGGAGAGTTTGCTTCGGGAAGTGAAAAGCTTCGTCCGTCCAAAGTCTGGCCAAGCAAGAACCTTAAACATGTCCTAATTGCTACCGACGTTAAAAGCAACTGGAGGCATTCCTTTTATGCCCGGTATTGGATCTTCGATGTTGAGACTCAAACCGCTCAGCCACTGGACCCCACGAACCTCCGTGGTAGAGTTCAATTGGCAAGCTGGAGCCCACAGAGCAATGCCATCGTGTTTACAAGAGAAAACAACATGTTCCTGAGGAAACTTTCTTCAACAACCGTCATACCTATCACAACAGATGGTAACAAGGACCTTTTCTACGGTATTCCCGACTGGGTCTATGAAGAGGAAGTTTTCTCTAGAAATAGTGCGACTTGGTGGGCTGAAGATGGGAAATATATCGCATTTCTCAGGACAAATGAATCTAAAGTGCCGGAGTATCCAGTCCAGTACTTCATAAAGAGACCGAGTGGGACCGAGGCTGCCCCTGGAGAGGAAAACTACCCGGAGGTCAGGGAGATCAAGTATCCAAAGGCTGGGGCTCCGAATCCTATAGTCTCTCTCCGGTTTTATGATATTGACAAGGGTGATGTCTTTGACGTCAAGACTACGGATGAATTTGCCGACGACACTCGTCTTATCACAGAAGTCATCTGGGCAGGTTCGACAGGAAAAGCAATCGTCAAGGAGACCAACCGCGAAAGCGACATTTTACGAGTCGTTTTGGTGGATGTGTTGAGCCGCTCAGGCAAGACTGTGCGTACTGTCAATGTGGCTGAGATTGATGGCGGATGGTTCGAAGTTTCTCAGAAGACTCGTTACATTCCAGCAGATCCTTCGAATGGAAGGCCCCACGATGGTTATATCGATACAATAATCCACGAAAATTACGATCATCTCGGGTACTTTACACCCCTGGATAATGCCACTCCAGTTCTACTTACTTCCGGAGACTGGGAGGTCGAGTCGGCTCCGTCAGCAGTGGATTTGAAGAAGAACCTGGTGTATTTTGTATCCACTAAGGAATCACCGATTCAACGGCACATCTACAGCGTCAAACTAGATGGGACCGATCTTAAGGCCCTCACTGACACTTCGAAAGAGGGGTACTACGGTGGCTCGTTCTCCAGTGGTGCTGGTTACGTCTTACTTGGCTACGACGGTCCTGCTATTCCGTGGCAAAGGGTTGTTAGCACGCCGAGCAATCCTGACTCCTACGAGAAAATTGTAGAGGAAAACAAGGGACTGGAGAGGATGACCAAGAAGCACGACTTACCCGAAAACATATTCTCCAACGTTACAATTGACGGATTTAACTTGCAAGTCATTGAGCGCCGCCCGCCCCATTTCGACAAGAAGAAGAAGTACCCTGTGCTTTTCCACCTGTATGGAGGTCCAGGCTCACAAACAGTCAACAAGAAATTTAACGTCGACTTTCAAGCATATGTTGCTGCCAACTTGGGATATATCGTTGTCACGGTTGACGGTCGCGGCACGGGCTTCATAGGCCGCAAAGCGCGTTGCATCATCCGAGGTGACCTGGGACACTGGGAGGCGCGCGATCAGATCGAGACTGCAAAATTATGGGCTGCGAAGCCTTATGTCGATGCGTCTCGCCTCGCTATATGGGGATGGTCGTATGGTGGATTCATGACCCTCAAGACGCTTGAGCAGGATGCCGGCAAGACCTTCCAATATGGTATGGCTGTTGCTCCAGTAACGGATTGGAGGTACTACGATTCCATCTACACAGAGCGATATATGTATACGCCCCAAGAGAACCCCGGGGGATACGACAACGCAACCGTCAGCGATGCAGTGGCGTTGCAGAAGAATATACGGTTCTTGATCATGCACGGCGTTGCGGACGATAATGTGCACATGCAGAACACATTGGCACTGCTCGACCGACTGGATTTGGCCGGCGTGGAGAACTATGATGTCCACGTCTTCCCCGATAGCGACCACGGAATTTATTTCCACAACGCGAACAAGATTGTATATGACAGTAAGTTTACCCCTATAGTGTCCGGTCACATGCCGTATACGTACTAATATAATGCAGAACTAAATAACTGGCTTATTAACGCCTTTAACGGCGAGTGGTTGAGGACAACGAATGCTGTACCGATAGCAGTAGATACTGCTGCAGACAGGAAGAAGGAGTAGGCTTTTGGAACGGATTGAGCGCTGCCTCAATGTAGGGGAGAATAAGGCGTCATCACCTATCATATATGTGCGATAGGAGCTGTATCAGCATTCGCGGCGTTTGGATTGGGACCTTGTATATTTTTATTTATTCACTATTGCAGAGATACCAGCTGAAGCATATCAAATGGCAAGAAATTCATTATTCAAATAGCTTCATTGATTGCCATGAATCTCTAAATCAACGCCGTAAGCTCAATTGTCAGGGCAACCACAAAACAATATCTCATGACCAATTGTTCTGATCAAACTATACAAGCTATCTCCTTTCTGGCTCGCCGGCGTCGGTGGAAAAAGTTGAATTGTCCGTGTTGATATTCTCCCTAATTAGCACGCCATAACCCCACACAGTGTTATCATATCACTCCCATGCCATCAACCACCACATTTCACCACATTACGAAGCTACCATGCCCAACTCTAGTGTCGCTAGCGACCACACTGATTGATCAGAGTAACGCGTTGACGTCTTCTGACGCCTTCGCAATCACCCATCCGCCATCGGTCAACTCTTCCTGAGACGCCGACCTCCCTCATAGCTCGACCTTTGAAACCTGCCCAGCATCACAGTACGGAGAAGTCAACCACCGACCGCCGTCTATTTTAATCCACTAGGTATATGCAAGATTTTGTGATCGAGCTGCGTAGCCACTTAGGACGCGCTGATTGAAAGCACGCTCGATAGCGGGGTTGATGGGACCGACGACGCCGATGTTAAAACAAGGCGCCATGAGGATACCCATGGCGGGGTAGTCTCGAGGACGGGCAAAGCATGGTAGTTGTCGCCGACAGCTGCCATAGAATGCTTCAATGAGGAGCACGAACATCGATATCGTCGCCATAGGCTGCCATCTGGCGTCATTGCGATCTTGCATACATAGCGAGCTATCACTGACGAAATATATATATATGCCCTGCAAGCCAGAGTCGAAAATATGTCTTCCCGGACTCTGTTTTATAATCATCTCTTCCAACTACCCTACTCGACCGAAGCCACAGAAGCCTACCGCTATTTCAATACCACCAGTGCCTATCAAGACTTAGACAATATGGCTCCTTCTATTGAGCAAGTCGTCCCGGAGTCCGTCGTGCAGACTGCTGAGCACATCCAGGAGAAGCTTGGAGCTGTTAGCCTTGGTAACTCCTCCGAAGCTAAGGTTGAGAAGCAGAAGCCTGTCGAGGAAACTCCGGCCGTCCAAGCCCCAGCCGTCGAGGCTGCCCCAGCTGTCCAGGCCCCAGCTGTCCAGGCCCCTGCTGTTGAGGCTCCGGCTGCTGAAGTGCCAGCTGAGGAGTCCGTCAAGCCAGCAGTTGTCCCAGCTGCCAGCTACATCAAAGCGCCCCTGAAGCTCAGCGGTGCCATCGATTCGTGGAAGAACTTTGAAGTGACTCCTGTTATTGGGCGTGAATACGCCGACGTTGACCTTGCCGCCGTTTTGCAGGCGGAGAACTCTGACGAGCTGCTCAGAGACCTTGCCATCACCAGTATGTTTTGAAAAGCCCAACAATACACAGAATAGAAAGTGCTAACAGGTGTCCAGTCTCCCAACGTGGTGTCGTCTTTTTCCGTGCCCAAGACAACCTTACAGACGACCTCCAGAAGGAAGTCGCACAACGCCTCGGCGAGCTATCTGGCAAGCCCGAGACCTCCAAGTTGCATATCCACCCTGTTGCGAACGCAGGAAGGGAGCACGGAGGAAAGGATGACGAGATAAGCGTCATATCATCGGCCCAGGCGAAGAAGATCTATATCCACTCGAAGTCGAAGCTATACAGCCAAGGCGAGAAGAAACAGAACGGAAAGATTGGCTGGCACTCGGACATCACCTTCGAGCCCATCCCCTCCGACTACTCCATCCTCAGACTTGTTGAGCTTCCTTCGACTGGTGGTGGTGAGTCCTAAAACAACACCCCATACCTTGACCCAAACTGATAAATCATAGACACCCTCTGGGCCTCCGGCTACGAACTATACGACCGCATCTCCGAACCATACCAGAAATTCCTCGAGACCCTGACCGCCACCTACGCGCAACCCGGCTTCAATGAGGCAGCCGAAAGGAACGGCTTCAAGCTCTTCACCGAGGCCCGCGGCGCCCCCGAGAACGTCGGTGAGCTCCTTGAGGCCATCCACCCCGTTATCCGCACCAACCCCGTCACGGGCTGGAAGTCCGTCTTCGCCGTCGGCCAGCACGTCGCCAAGGTGAACGGCGTGACCGAGCTCGAGAGCGAGGCGCTGCTGGCGTGGTTCGTGAGACTGCTCGTCGATAACCACGATCTGCAGGTCCGTCACAGGTGGCAGAACCCTAATGATCTTGCGATCTGGGATAACAGGAGTGTGTACCATGCTGCTACTCCGGATTACCTCGAGGGTAACTATGGAGAGAGGAAGGGGAATCGCGCGGTGAGCTTGGGGGAGAGGCCGTATTTGGACCCGGCTAGTGTGTCGAGGAAGGAGGCGCTGGCCGCTGAGAGTGCTGCTTCTGCTTAGAGAGTGGAAGGAGAGGTATTTGAGCGTAGTGTACTTGGCCTGTTTTGGGATCAAGTAGGATGAATAATGAAATTATTAAATATAACTGAGGTGCATGCTTAATTGTGAAACTGCCCCGTGAAATATAAAATAAGAATGAAAGCGATTGATATAAACGCATAGAAACAGTTGAAGGCTTACCGTTGTCGTCTTTACCACCCCTGCACGCGGGATAGCATTTCGTGAACAGACATATATTCTCACTGAACAGCTAGAATAGTGAAGGCTGGCTGACGCCGGTAGTCGTGAATTTGTTCAATTTTGTACTTCATCCCGTACACTGGGAGTGTCTATATAACCCAACTCCAAACAATGCTGAACCGACCCACCCAACAACGCCTGGTATGTTCCCCAAAATCCCCCCTGCCCACAAAATTTACTTTTCGTTGACCAACACCATCTTCTCGCGCTCCGGCTTCCTCTTCTGGAACTGCTTCTTAGTATGCTTCCGCTCATTCTCAATCCTGCGCTTAATAGCCTTAAGCTCCTCCGCCTTGATCTCCCCAGCCTTCTTAATCACCTTCGGCACATGTCTGTGTCTCTTGATACGGCGAATCTCGGGCATATGCTGATACCTCTCTGACAGAGCGGCGTTGTATTCTAATGCCTGTCGTTGCTTGGCGGACTTGATACCCTCGCGTCTCGACGACTCGGCGCGCCATAAGCGGATGTTTCCGTCGTCGGAGCCGGAGAGGATGTATTTCGAGTCCGGAGTGAACTTGGTGGAGAAGACGCGCTGCATACGCTTGGTGTGGTAGATGTCTCTGGAGTGTCCGCTGCGCGCCTTCCAGATGCGGATGGTGCGGTCGTAGGAGGCACTCACGAGTTCCTCACCGGTGGGGCTGTACTCGACGTCCATGACTGCTGCGACATGGTCTTTGAGAACGTTAAGGGCTTTGTTCATCTTCCTCATGTCGAAGATGTAGATGTTGTGGTCTTCGTTTGCTACGGCGAAGTTGAAGGCTTCCATGGGGTTCCAGGCAATGGCGTTGGATGCGAAGTTCAGCACTGTCTTTGCGAGGGGCATTGAGGTGCGTAGGTCGTATAGTACGATCGACCTGTCTGTTGCGCAGGAGGCTAGGATGGAGGTCTCGACTTGGTTGAATTGCACGGTGGTGATGGTGTCTGTGGATGTTGGCCATTTGAGCACCTCTGGCGGGGCGGTAAACCTCTCGAGGTCGTAGATAGAAATAACCCCCGACGAAGCAGCAAAAGCATTGTTCGACCTGTGGTGCGATATTCCCGTAAAGGCATTCGTACCCAGCCATGTTGCTAATGGCGCCGTTCCAGACGGTGTGTTGTAAGGATCGAAGAGCTTGATCGACCGATCCGAGGCGCAAGTCAAGAGTTTCTGGTCTCTCGTCCAACTCATACTCTTAACAATATTCTCATGGGCACCGACATTCCATATTTCCTCCCTGCTAGTTAAATCCCAGACCTTTACTATCCCGTCACCACTGCCACTTGCAAATCGGTGCAGGGAATTCGGGTCCTTCGCCATGGTGTAGACTCCGTCCACATGGCCCTTGCCGAGTTGCCCAATAAATGGTGCGGCAAACATACGTTCCAGCTTCGTCGCATTGAGCGCACGAGTATATTCCCTTGCTCTTTCGAAGGGATGTAATGCTGGATCAAGGTTGCGAGGCTGTCTGGCGACATCAGAACCTGGCGCTTGCGCCGTGGCCGCTGAGCGCGTGAGCGCTTTAATCTTCTAAATTTGAGTATTAGCACCAATTCCCTATATTAAAAAGTAGTCCTTCACATACCATGATGTGCTGAACAGTTGGATTCCCATTTACTGTTGGTTCATGAGAAGTTCGCAGAGGCCGTTTATCGAAGCCTCGTCTCGAACTTTTTCGAGCAGGGATGCTTTATCGTAGATCACGTGACTATGCGCTAGTGCGTCAAGCTGTCGCCCAAGGCGACTAAAGCTACGCAAGACGGTACGCCAAACCACCCTCAATCACACAACATCAAAATGGCGCCGGTAGATTCAGATCGGATAATAGAAGCTGAGAGGCTGGTGAAGACGGAACCAAGGAAAGCGGAGGCACTATACAAGGATATCCTCTCGAAAACCCCATCCGCAACCAACGATGCGGCCGTGCGGGAGTTTGAGACGGCGCTGGTGAAGCTGGGAGAGCTGTATCGAGATGAGCAGTATGTTTATTTGAGTGGATATGGATGACCTTTGCTTACATTAACAGGAAAACCGATGAGCTTGTCAACCTAATCACAACAAGCCGGACAGTTCTGTCGTCGTTTGCAAAGGCAAAGACAGCCAAACTTGGTAAGCACTGGACAACAACCTCCCCCCAACAACGCAAGGCTAACACCCCCCAGTCCGCTCCCTCCTCGACCTCTTCCACAAAATCCCCAACACGACCGACACCCAAATCTCCGTCACAAAATCCTGCATAGAATGGGCCACCTCCGAGCGCCGCAGCTTCCTGCGTCAGAATCTCGAAACTCGCCTCGTCGCCCTGCACATGGCGAAGCAATCCTACTACGACGCCCTCACCCTCATCAACAGCCTCCTCCGCGAACTCAAGCGCCTCGACGACAAGCTCGTCCTCGTCGAAGTCCAACTCCTCGAATCTCGCGTCTACCACGCCCTCGGCAACGTCGCCAAAGGCCGCGCCGCCCTAACCAGCGCCCGCACCTCCGCCGCGTCGGTTTACACCCCCCCTCTCCTGCAGGCAGGGCTGGACATGCAATCTGGGATGCTGCATGCGGAGGACAAGGATTTCAATACCGCGTTCTCGTACTTTATCGAGGCGCTCGATGGGTACCATACCCAGAATGAGCCGGCGAAGGCCACCGCGGCACTGCAGTACATGTTGCTCTGCAAGATCATGCTGAACCTCAATGACGACATCGCGCAGCTCATGACGTCCAAGCAGGCCGTCAAGTACGCCGGCAAGAACCTCGAAGCCATGAAAGCCGTCGCGCGCGCACACGCGAACCGGTCGCTCGAGGAATACGAAGCCGCGCTGGGCGACTACAAGTACGAGCTCGGCAGCGACACCTTCATCCGCAACCACCTGCGTCGACTGTACGATTCCATGCTCGAGCAGAACCTGATCAAGGTGATCGAGCCCTTCTCGCGCGTCGAGATCGCGCACATCGCCAAGATGGTAGGGCTGGATGAGCAGCAGGTGGAGCGGAAGCTGTCGCAGATGATTCTCGATAAGGTGATTATCGGCGTCTTGGATCAGGGCGCGGGGTGTCTGATTATTTTCGATGAGACGGAGCCGGATGAGGGGTATGAATCGGCGTTGGCGACGATTGCGAAGCTGAGTGGTGTCGTGGATGTGCTTTATACGAACCAGGCGTCGCAGCTTGAGTGAGTGGCTTTGGAGGGTGAGGGCTGGGGATGAGGCAAAAGGCTTGTATTAAATAGAGGCGCTACATGGGCGGATCGAGAATATTAAGGCGTGCATTACTCATTATGTGTTTTTTTTACTCTGGACTAGTTCACGTTTGTGACTGTAACGTAATTCGTGATTCCCGACCAACTCCTAACAATGAGGTATATACAACAGTAGCCCGCCACTCCAAACAGTATCACACTATATCCCTACACCACTCCTCACAACCACCCCATCCCCAACCCCAAAATCCCCTTCTTCTTCTCCGCCTCCTCCTCCACCTTCATCGCCAGCTCAACCTCCTCCTTCTTCCTCTTCCTCTCCATCCCCACCAGCCCATAAAGCCTCTTACACACAAACGCCTCATCCCACAACATCCCCTCCTCCTCCGCCTCATCAAGAAACATATGCACCACATCCACCATCCAAACCTCCATCACCAAACTATCACTCCCATCCGCCTCCCTCCCCCACACCGTCTTCCCCGCATACTCGCTCTCCCTCACCGACATCGGAATCTCAGCCGTCGGCGTTGGGTTCTTCTTATAATCCCAGTAAATTGATCTCAAAGACAGCCAATGGCTCTTCGTCCACTCCGCGTCCTCCATAAACCGCGGCTTTACCACTGAAGGGGACGCGGCGGTGGTGGCACTGAAGACGACGGCTTTGGTGGGGGAGGCGGTGCTGGGGTGGCGGAGACAGGATTTTAGTGGTGAGGGGGCGGAGGGGCGGCGGTAGGGGTTTGGGCGTGCGGGGGTGGTGGAGAGGCGGGAGGATTCGTCGAGGGAGGAGGTGCGGGAGAGTTGGGAGAGGTCGGAGAGGGCGGAGGGGGAGCAGATGTGGGAGCGTTCGGGGGTGGGGAGGTCTTGGGTGTATTCCTCCTCCCTTGTTGGATCCTCATCTGAGGCAAACTGAGAGTCGTCTTGTTGGATGAAGTCTGCTTCCTCCGTCGTGTCGTTGTATTGCTCGGCTGCTGGCAAACTCTGCGTTGGCGATGCGATGGTATCATCCTCAGCATAGGAAGGCTCGGGCTTCTTGACAGGAGACGACGCGAGCAGGGCTGAAATACCCAAGATATTGCTCTGTCGTGGTGTAATCCTTGGTTTGAAATTCTGCTTCTGCGGGAGGTCCCAAGTTGATAGCTCTGTTTGGTCATAATATTCCGTGACGGGGGGCGCCTGTGGCCGCTCTGCTGCTGCCATAAAAGGCCTTGATTGTGGCTTTGGCAGTTCAATGCTCCGTCGCAATGTTCCCAGTTGTGGCGCACCCGAAGGTAAATCAGAGGGCCAGGAAGTGCTTTTCGACAATAGAACAGCCTTCGGTGCAAGCTGCGATTGGGTTAATCTAGCTAGCACACTGGTTGCCTTCATGTCATCTTTTGGTACCAAGGTAGCCTTGGGGGCAATTGCTGGTGGCGCCGGAAGTGCTGCGCTCCGTGCCTCAATCGCCGGTGATGCAGTCGAGGTTTCATTCTTGTTTAACGGCGATGAATCCTTAGCGGCAAGTTCGTCGCTGTATACCAATCGTCTGCTGTTCTGCCTCCATGGACTTGGGAGTTTGCTGCGTCTCGGCCTTTCCAACGGGGCTTGTTTAGGGGCTATATCAACAGGCTTCCCTATAGATGGCGATGAGTTACTACGCGCTTCGGCTAGCCATATGTCTTCATCGTCAAAAACATCTTCGACAGCATTGGCTTTCGGAGCGGGTTCAGATTGTGTTATGAGTGGAGTGCTGTTAATCGTTGGTAGATCCGATGGCACGACATATACCTGCGTTAAGTCTAGTCCCAGATGTTGGGTGGTTTCAGCCTTATCATCTAGCCATGCATCTCTTTGTTTTTGCTTCTGAGATTCCATTTGACGCCCCCCAGTGCGAGAAGAGCCAGCCGTAGCCTTACCGCTTCCAGACCCTTCATTGTCATCTCGCGGAGGCGTCCTCATCACAGGATACTCAGCTTGCCAGCTCATCTCATCAGAATAGCGAACCGTATTCGTATCCTGAGTTACCAAGTTAACAATCTGGGGATTCCTAGCCTGACCCGGCGTAGGCAGCCCCAGAGAATAGTCATCTTTTTCCTCCGGAGAAGGTGAGCGTAACTGCTCAGATGCCTCTGCCAGGAATGGGTCATCGACAATCAAGGGGATATTCTTCATGAAGCCTGGCTTTCGCTCATCTGCGGCCCCGCTTAATGTTCTGCTGTGAGAAAGGTTGCGCCATGACATTGGCCCGAGTCCGGGGACAGAGGAGTCCAGTTTCGAAGGCTGAACCACAGGTTCCTTCGTCGGCTCCTCAGTTGGAGATAATGGGTGTCTCCTCGCGTTTGGGCTTTTGAATGGGCTGCGAAGGAACGATGAATGCGTGCTTGCCGAATTTGGAACGACGATTTCTTGAAGAGCACGGCCTGCAATGACACTTGAAGACAAGTGTGGCTTTGGCGCTCCATTAATCTCTGTCGTACTCGGCAACTGTTCTCTCGGAGCTGGCCTTTGCTTTGGGGGAGGTAGAGACGGCGATGAGAACACGATTGATGGGGTTTCGGTTAGTCCTAGTGATTTACGTTGTCGTAGATGTGCCGTGTATGTGTATCGAGGAGCTGCGAATGACGGAGGTGACGATCTCATCTGAGGCATATTCATCGACGAATCCGCAGTTGACTCAACGTGAACGCTTTCCCTGTTCGTAACTGACGGTACTTTATCCTGAGAGGTTACCTGGGCAGATGGCCCAGTTGAGTCGTTATCTGGCGATGGTGCCTCTTGGGGAGTTGGGAGCCAAGGTGTTTGGGGGAGTTCAGCATCTCTAATAGAGGTAGTGGTAGCCTCAACAGGCGGAGCAAGGAGCGCAGATTCAGCCACAGAGCTTCCTTCTTGGAAATGTTCAGTGGCATCCGCCTCATGGTCCTGGTCGCGCGGGCTACTCGTGGTAGGCTGGGACCTAGCATAATTATTCGAAGCGGAAACATTAACTAAGCTTTGCTGGGCGGTCTGTATATTATCAAAGCTTCGACGTTTCGATGAAGATGCTTCTGCTGGAGATGACATGCCCGATGAGGATCTGTTGTCGCTTCTGTATTCTGCTTCACGTTCTTCAGACGAAGATACAGACTCAACCGGCTTGCTCTGAATAAAAGGGCTGCTGAAGTGTTCCCGCAACAAAGGTACCGAATCAACCGATATCATGCTAAATCCCTCACTTTCCAGGATCGTATCAAACTCCTGGAGATCATCAAGGCCATCTTCAGCCTCATCATCGTAGTTGTGCTCTTCCTCATGCTGGGACCGATAATCTTCAGAGCCAATCTCATTCGCGAACAGATATGAACGAGGGACCTCCTCCAGCGCCTGATGGACAAGTGGCGACCCCCGTCTCGAGCTGGCCCTATCCTGGAGGTGTCTGGGGATAGCTGAGACAACTCTCGGACTCGACCACCCCTCCGCTTCAGGTGTTCTCTCCCTGTCAAACTGGGCGACCGTGACATCCTCGCCGAATGCAGTGGATGTAGATCGGATTGTGGAATATTCCGAATGAGACCCCATTGTATTTTGTTCCATAGGACTCAATGGTATGTTATCATCTGGATGCACCTCTTCAAATGACTCCTCTGCCGGCGAGCTATGTCCCGTCAGATCTTCCAGTATCGGGATTACCTCCGGCAGCAACGACTGTCTTCTACCCCTCTTGTTCGCAACACTCGAATCCGGCAGATCTGACGAAGGCCCCATCGATTTCGCAGCAGGCGTTTTTCGAGTAACCGATTTAACAGATCTTGATCGTGACCGTCCTTTGCCTCTTCCAACCTTGACGCTCTTCCCAATCGCGAAATCCCAGTCCTCCTCGTCATCACCATCCACCAGACTTCCCAGTGTTCTCCTCCTCCTAGGAGACTTTCCAGCGGGAGTTACATTTCTGGTTTTCGCGGGCACTGGGGTGCCTATTGACTTTCGTGGGCGACCGCGACCGCGTTTTGGCGGCGCGGCAGGGCTGTCTTCTTCGGAATCCGAGAGGCCCTTGAGCGGGACTGTTGTGGTAGTTGTTCGCATGTTTGGGCGTCTTGAAGAAGCATAGTAAGGCGATGGCGAGGGAGATCTTAGGTCCGAAAATTCAGGGTAGGAGTTCTCCTTGTTGTTCTCCGCTTCGACGGTGACCCTTATTTTTTGCGGCGAGAGGTCATTGCCGACGTCCAATTCGAACGTTTGTTTGGTTGGCGAGCTGCCGTACATTTGTTGTGACCTGCGGGCTCTCGATTGTCGGATAGATTTTGAAGGTGATGAGAAGGTCGGAGTGTCATTGAAAGGGTCCGGCGAGGAAGATAAAATGTCTGCCATATTATAAGACATGTTCTTGATTGTGTAGCTTCGACTACGTAGTTGCTCATGAAGCTTTGGACAGCGGAAGCGCGTTCCAACTCGCGACAATAAAAAAGACGCGTCCTTTTTGGAGCTCTTAGGGTGTTAGGAGCAGTCACCGCATCGATTTCGTATATTTATGTACATGAATAAAGTTGATGAGGCTCTTGGAGTTGCCTGGCGGGTTTGTTTACATTGACTGTTTGCGGAATTGGGGGTTCGACAGCTGACGTCCAACCATCTCACAAGTAGCGGGGAAGGGGTCTTGTCGTTGCTCCGTAGATTAGGTGGAACTAAACTACTTTAGACGATACTAAGATAAAGAAAGTTACAAGGCTACAACACGGCAAAAAGCGGGGGAATTTGGGGATAGGGACCACTAGACTGATTAGTAATTCAAGATGATTAAGTAAGCTGCCATGATGTGATGACCGAAAGGAAGGAGGGGGGTCGATGCTGGCTGGCCATACATTCCACAGCACTCGGGTATAACCAGAAATACACCATTTTAAGCCTTTTCGAGTACAACTACGTGTGATATACCTGGTCTACCTGGTCTACCTGGTCTACCTGGAGATCCCGGAGGCATTCTGAGCATTCTGGGTATTCTATCTGTACTTATCACGGTAGGTTGCTGCTTACTATATCAAACTCCACGTTGACGCCATTTCCTTGTGGCATCGAGGATTCATATCTCTCTCTGCATATATGAGACCTTCCCCCGCTCTTGCTTCATCTTTCTTACTTTCCTATCACTCTACTATCCTACGCTGTTTCAGTGACTGGCATACCAACTGCAACTAATCCACCAAGAACCACTTATCACATACCTCACTCAAGCAACAAATCCTCCAACAACCACTTACCACCCATCGCATTACCTCCCCCAACCTCCCCCAAGCAACCAACACCCAAACCACCACCATGGCCACAGTCTCCTCCCACCAAGCCACCCCCTCACACAACCTCTCCGCCTCCGCCCGCGCCGAAGCGGCTGGCGTTCAAACCGAAACCACCACCCCCACCTACCCCATCCCCCGTGGCAACGTCGAAGCCGAATTGCACTTCTACCAAGCCCCCTCCGACGGCTCAGTCCCCTACAACTGGGTCGACAAGCAACCCGAAGGCACTCGAAAACTCTTCGACAGGTGACAACAGCATATGATCGGACGTGGTGTTATTGGGCACGGCTGCATATCCTGCGGTTTATCCCTCAAGCTGCAAAATAACGTCGCATCCATGACGACGATAAAAGGAGACAACCACATCAGCAACGACGACAACGACCCCAAACCGCGAAGCTACTAAGAAACACATGTTGAAGAAGGTGTGACTGTTGTCGTACATGGTCGTAAACATTTCTCCTTGTTATCTATTCTCCTCCCGCGTGGTTACTATTTTTTTCCATAACGCACCGGCCGCTGTCGGCCATAAATCCAGAGTAATCATAGTTTCCGGGATCCAAATATAGAATAGTACGGAATTTTGGCTTTTTACAAACCGTAACTTATTGTCTGGCTTTAAGTTGCATAATAAAGCACCCCAGAAGTGCTGTTGTGGCATTTCACCTCCTTGGATTGCAGGCAGGTCCGCTGCATATAATGTCGTACTTAGTAGACCACCTATTTGTACCCGTCATGGTGCATTCTCTTCTGACCCTATAGACTGTAACGTAAGTGACAGTGTAATGCGGGGGACTGGGTAACGCGGTGGATTTCCCTCACCAACTTCAGATAATTGTAAATAACTCAACAATGAATCGTCGTGAATACCTGGGTATTGCTGAACGTGAGACTTTAATAGCCCAAGCAGTATTAGACGTCAAATCTGGGAATTATAAGAGCGCATATCACGCTGAGAAAGTGCTAGGGTTACCTAAGAGTTCTGTGACGCGTCGCGCCAATGGAGGTTTGACACGCTCTCAAGCCCGTCAGCAACAGCAGAGTTTATCAAGTGCGCAAGAGACGATACTTCTGAAGTGGATTAAGAACCTAACAATTAGCGGTTATTCTCCTGGGCATCGGTTGTTAAAGGAAATAGCTGAAGAAATCCAGTCGCACCGATCACTCAATTTTGATGACGCGACACCAAACTCACTTCCACTCCAACCACGGTTTGCCCTTGGTTACCACTGGGTACAGCGATTCATAAAACGGCACCCCATCTACAGGTTGTCATCGGACGACGGATCGAAACTGTACGCATGGACGGTGCAACAAAACCAGAACTTACAGCATGGTTTGATGCATACACCGAGGTGGTTCAACAGTTCAGAATCACACAAGAGAACACATATAACATGGATGAATCTGGATTTTCGATTGGGACAATGGAATCTACTCGAATTATACTTGATTCAACGCTTCGTACAAAGCATCAAGCGCATCCTGGCCATCAGGAATGGGTTACAATGGTCGAGTGCATCTGTGCAGACAGAACCATCCTTCCACCCCTTGGGATCTTTAAGGGCAAGAACGTTCTCCAATCATGGATTCCTCCTACAATCATCAACGAGTGGTTCTTCTCTGCGAATACAAAAGGCTGGACAAGCAATCTCCATGGGTTAGAGTGGTTAAAACGCATCTTTGAGCCAACAACACGTGCAAAAGCAGATGGTCAGCACCGGCTTCTTATATGCGACGGCCACGACTCACACATTAGTGGCAGTTTCATTGCGCATTGCATGCAGAACCGTATTGTATTACTGATACTTCCCCCTCATACATCGCATTTGCTACAACCGCTAGATGTTGCGATATTCAGCCCACTAAAAAAGCATCTAACGGCAGTGCTCTCCCCACTCAACCAAGCGCAACTTGCGCGCATACAGAAGTATGAATGGATAGAGGCATACATCCAGGTGCGGCTTGATGTATGCAACCATCAGAACATTGAGTCAGCATACCGTGGTGCTGGCTTGTTTCTGTTTATCCCCAGCGAGCATTGCGTACGCTGCTCAATGATGAGCCATCAGTCGAGGCTGAGCGACCAAAAACACCACATCAGTATGATGTTTTTGACCAAGTCTTTATTAACAGCTCCCCCCCTGATGGGATGACCTTACGCTCTGCAATCCACACCACGTCAATTCCATCTCCCGCAATCCAGTCCTCGTCACTCTGTACCGTTACTACTTCGCTGTTCGATGTGAAGTGTTGATTATTTTCAATTAATCCCTTTGCCTCGGCATTGACATATATCCAACAAGTACCTTCAGGTGGAGATACTGCAAAACAGCGTTCAGATAAGGTGCAAGTGTAGCCCTTCAACCATGAGTCCGCATGTCTATTATCGGATTCCAAATTGTAACGTACCGGTTTGTCACCAATCCACTGCAATGCCTTTTCTTCGAGGGGGCACCGTTCGACTGCCACCTGTCGTCAATGCGTGCTCTCCTTCAATCCCAGTTCTACCCCGACAGTACACCGAGGACCCTCCGAATCGATACAAGAAGTCCACCATCTCTGAGAAGATTACGCCGCTCAGCGATGGGATAGAACATACTTTTATGCAATGGAGCGCGTCGATCCGAGACCGACTCGTAGTCAATGAGGACCACTACCCTACCGACGTCTCAAGAAGAGCGCTGATATGGGGAACTATGACCGGCCTGGCAAAGACCTATTTGGAACCCCAATACCTGTCCGCTACACATGCGTTTCGCAGCGCCGACGAGATGATGGACCTACTAGGTTCATACTTCCTCACCGGCAACGAGACGGAACAGGCCCGTAACTGATTTATTTAAGGTTAGGTTAAATCGCATTTGGAGGCGCTCCCAGGGTGACGAATCCTGGGACTGAATTGCTTCTGGAGCACGGAATCTGCTTCTACCCCTAACGCTCTCCCCTAAGCGCTGACGACTCTTTTGTGATGATTCATCTTCTTGTATCCTCTTCCTCAGCTTGTTTGGCAGGGGATCATTGTCGGATGATGCGGGAGGGGATGCCGTGCCATTCGACCTGTTTTTGTTGGAGTCAGGGGTGGCTCTAAAAAACCCAAACCAGGTGTTACTCCTTTTTAAGCTCATACTTGCAATAACTTATTGTTGACGCAATTTGTTTTTATGGTTGGAAGAGCTATAAGGCTTTTAATACTGATATAAATAAGCCAGATATTGCACTAAGCCAGTTTCGGCTGCTGCACTTAGATAGCCCATGTGAAAAGTGAGCATTCTCCCAGAGCATAGACATCCATACCTCAATATGAAAGCGCGAGTACATGCGGAAGACCTAAGATTTGAGACAGAGCAACGTCTCTTCTGCAAAGGTTCCGCTCTTGTCAAGCTTGAGAGTCTAAATTGGGAAGAGCATAAAACTCGCCAACATGACCTGAAGAATGTACTACGACTTAAAAAGATCTTTGAGAAGGAAGGATGCCGTTCGCTAAAGGTGGGAAACCACATACCTGCTATTGTCGATCAACATCATCTCGACACTGCCATAGAGAATGTGAAGCAAAATAAGACGTGGAAAATGGGGATTTTGCCAAGTAGTTACGCCATGATCGACTCAGAAAACGGATACCCAGAGCTTGAGTTTCCAGGCGGAATTATCTGTCTCCATGGATTACATAGAATTCAAGCGGGAAAAGCATTGCGCCCAGCTGAGAAATGCTGGATAGTGGATCTATACCTTTCAGGAATCAGCTACGAGACGAGGGCAATTCTAGATGAAGAATATTCTATTGAAGATAGGCCTTGTGATGGTCAAATATATCGCAAAATCTGTAAATACCAGTATCTACCCCAGAAGGCTGATGCCCTAGTCTTACCAGCTACCTCTGTAAGCTTCGAAATGCATTGGTGGTCTCGTTTTAATGAAAGTAGACAGAAGAGACTCCGCGGCCTCTTCCGACACCGCTTGGTTGCTGCTGGATTTGATGCTCTTACTAAGATTCCGGCTCTCTTTGACGCTGGAATGAAGGTCACTACACTGCATACAGTGATGGCAACGAGGTGCTATGAGGTAAGTCGAATGCTATGCATAACCACTCTTTTACTTATATTACATGTAGGAAATACAGCATTACCTTAATCATATTTTCACAGCTTTCGTTGGATTTTTTAACAGGATTGAAAATGGGATTCAGAGACTAGATAAGGCCACCATTAAGGCTATCGAACGTAAGGCACCTGCAGTATGAACCTCGGATTCTCAGGAGCTATCCATTGCTATTTTTAATGGCGCCATCTTCAGTGGCTTCAGCAGCCAAGAACGCAGCGTTATATGGGGTAACATCCTCAAGTTTAGAGGCATTATACCTTCTCTATCAACCTTTTTTGAAGACATGCACTTGTTGGAAGCTTGCATTAACTGCATCAGGTGGCTAGTTACAGTTCCTATGGATCAGGCGGATCAGACGGTATTCACAGCGCTAGGGGAAGCGTTCCAATCTCAAGGAGGCACCCAATGCACTCAGGTAGTCCAGACAACTGAAACTACCTTCCGTTTAGTAAAGGGAAACCCGACATACTGTATGAAACTTGGGTATTTGCAAATGATTGCTTTTGCAATGAAAGAATACAGAGGTTTACCCAAGCAGTCTGTGAAGAAAAATTTGATAGAAATTGCAAGGCCAAAAGCCGATAGTGAAGTGCTCCAAAAAGGTGCTTCCTTTGCGAAGCAATTAGGATTTAGCACCCCTGAGATAGAGAGGCTGAAAGGGATGGAGCCTTTAACATTCTTGGAAGTGGAAGCATTAGTTCCCGTACCTAAAACAGCTGTGGTTGAGATTAAGCGCAGGTCTGGGATGCCATGTACTGATACTTTTGAGAAAGACAGACAGCATATATTTTTACACAACCTACTCCAAAGTGACGAGGCAGGCGAAGGCATCACGTCATTTTATGTTCTTAAGTCTTGGTTCAATGCATTTTTTGGCACATGGGCGATACCGGTACCGGTTCCAAACAGTAACAGCAACATGTCACCACCCAAAGACCAAGAAGTTAAAAACGAGAGTGTCAATTTACAAAAGACGCAGCTATGACCATTAGGTCCGCAGCATAGTGCGCGCATTGACAAGCACAAAAATAGCGTCAAACACATACCTAAAGTGAAAGTCAGCCCAACTCTAAAGATGGAGATAGACGTCCCCCCTGGTAAGATTACTCGTCCATTGTGGCCGCTAAAAGCAATGTCTAACATTACTAGACTCTACAATCCAAGATCTCATACACTTTGTAGAACAAGACGGTACAGCGACTGAATGCCTAGACCAGTTACCAGAATCTACTGGAGTATTTCAACTCTGGGTTGATTCCGGCGACCCAAAATCTTTTGTTAAACAACAAGTCATAGAGCTCAAAGATAAAGGAAAGAGAACTTGTGACAAAAATAAGAGACATATAGCAGCTGACGAATGCTATAAAGTGGCGACTATGGCAGGCAATAACAATACGCTTTTTGTAATCTCGGAAATAAAGCCTGAGGACGACGAACAATGGCGCGAACAACTTGAAACATCAGTTATGGGTGGGGTGGAATTCGAACGTGAGGAAATCAAGCCAGAGGAACAAGCCCGTCTAGATTTATACAGCGTTCCCTCTATACCTACCGAAGAGATAAAGTTAGAGAATAGCTCCCAGCCAGCTTTACACAACACTCCTACATACGAATCTACATAAGAAATAAGACAGAAAGATGGGGAAAGTCTGAGTGTTATTGCCCAGAAACGCCAGGAAATCAAGCCAGCGGAACAAGCCCATCTAGGTTTATACAGTGTTCCCTCTATACCTACCGAAGAGGTAAAGTTAGAGAAAAGCTCCCAGCCAGCTTTACAGACAACTACTCTAAAAGTAGAATGAGGAAGGGGAAGCGTGAGACTAAAACTCCTTACACATGTGAGAAAATAAAGCCACAGGAACAAGACTGAATGGATCTATACAGCGTTCCTTTACACGTACCTACCCAAGGGGTAAAGGTAGAAGATGACAACCAGTCAGCTTTACACAAAGCTCCTACGTACGAATCTACGCTAGAGATAAAACAAAATGATGGGGAAAGTCTAAGTATAATTGCCCAGAAATGCCAGGAAATTAAGGCAGAGGAAGAAGACCGTCTGGATTTATATAACACTCCCTTATGTGAAACTACTCAGGAAGTGAAGTTAGAGGATGATACCCAGCTAGCTTTACATGACATCCCAGTGTTTCCAGAGCGGCCTCACCAAGAAGACGAGGAATCGAACAGCCTACTAGATATAGAAAGTGAAAACGCCACTAATGCTCAGATTCTTGCTCAAAACACTGTTACAATTCACGTAAAGAAAGCCATAAAAGAGTCACAATGGGTATCTAAGCCAGCTAAAGACTTACCATTCCATCAACTAGATTCGATAGTAGTGCCAACTAAAGACCCACAAAATGTAGTCAGAGATAGAATGATACTCTTACATGAAGAAGAGGGGCTATTACCTCACAATGGTATGAGTCGGAGAGTAAATAACAAAGATTGCTATACAGTTGCTATGGAGGCTGACGATCATACCTTGTACATGATTCAGGAAGAGTATTAAACAAATATAGAAAGCGTAAGTTCAAAAGGGCATAATGGCAATGAGACGACCACAGGTGATAAGCTGAATAACCCAGCAACGAACAAACACGCCCTAATCTTCCAAATTTATCCAAGTTTACACATAGCCATCCTGCACTAATGTAATATTATTGAATGCATGCATGCTATAGTGTTGCCAAATGATTCCCAAGCCTATGTCGCATCCATCACCACAATAGGTAGTCATAGTGCCGCAATATCCAAATTTAGAGCAGCAGCGACCAAATTTCGTTCCATAACACGTTTATTAGCCACTGCACTTGCCACTTAGTGACAACGTTTGGGTACCGATGCTAATGCTTTTGATGGAGCTAATGCCAGCCTTTGTGACTGCATGGGAGCATGACCCAATTGGGTGAGTAGTACCAATGCTGTTCACCGTGATATCTGGACCTGGATCCGGAAATTCAAGATCAATGGATTCAAGGGTGCTGCAGCCTTTGCCAACATTAGTGACAAAGGCGTCTGGTCGGGAGCTAAACGCAGTATCCACAGGGCCTGATCCTGACCCTGAACTAATGGTGACACTTGCGCAGTTCATATACATCTCGCGGTTGCCAACCTTATTAAACCACGTCCAGGAAAACACGGCTGGGCCAGTAGGAGTATCGCTAGGGACCGTAAAAGGGAATTCAGAAACGAGCAGGCAGTTGCCAATGTAGGACTGGATGACCGTAAATGTTATGCCGCCATCAGTGGACAGACTGGCTCGGCAAGATCCACCCTTGTGGGTAATACTACCAACGACTGTGAATTTCTGTGTTGAACCAGCAACCCACGTCGCAACAGAAGCACCTTCAGGAGTTTTTAGATCAGGCAGGTGTCATACTGACATTCGTTGCACTCAGTTTGCTATCAAACTCAAGAGCAAACTTAGAAATCTCCTCCTCAAACCTACAAGTCACCATACATATCTTGGCTTATCACACCAACAACAGAAGCAATACTACTCAACGATTGCTGCAAACTCTTCTACTACATCTGTTTATGCTACATACATCACGGCATATCATTTGGACACTTATTGAACAAGTTATTAAGAAAATCTCCTCCTTAAGGGGGTGGGCCAATACTACCACATGGCATATCTCTACCAACTAGAGGCCTAGGAACATGAACGATAGCTCTAGAAGCTTCTACAACCCTCTATGATTCATTACACGTCATCGCTCCTTAGTTACCCACAAGATTGGTTAAGTTATGACATAATTTATCTATAGGTACTCTGACCTTGGACCTCCTTTTCACTTCCTATAGGCTAGGAACCCAAGAGATGGTTCTATGGGATTCTCTTACGTTCACTACATGATTAGCAAGCTAGTTGTGGGTCGCACTTGATTTCTAATACATTTACCAAGCCTGGTTAGTCATGGAAAGTCATGGAAAATGAGAGAACTACACTCCTTTGGCATAAATAGGATTGCCCTTTCCTTAAGAAAGGGCAAGCAGGCAATACAGTAAATCGACTAGCACATACTTCTACGTCTTTTCCAAGCTTCCAAGCATTGATCTTGTTATTCTCTGTTTTTGAAAAGTCAGTGAGGTGCTAACCTCTGACTTACCCCTGAGTTCTCAGACTCAACATTTGTTGCAACTTGTCTAAACCACTTCACCACATCATACACCTGATTGCTGCGTTGTGGAATAGTCTAAGCTACAACCCTTTGGCTCTGTTTCCTAAGACAGTGTGTTGTCTTAGTAAATTCATCCCTTCCTTGGGTGGCTAGATTCTCATATCTGGTGCACCCACCATTACAAGGCTGCGAGTACGTACGCAGCTTCTCAAGGGCTGTATTACAGCTTATAGGCCAGATTCCAGCTTTCCGGAATGCTGATTGTATGGTAGATTCCTTAAAAGTCTGCTCCCGCATTTGTGGGAGATCTCTCATAAATCAGGGTAGGTTATAGGTGATGTCCACTTCCGGTATAGCACGGAGCACAGCCTGCCTATGCCAGTGCTTATAAGGCTGGAATATTCCCACGTCTAATGGCTGTAAAACGTGTGTAAGGTGGCTGGGAAACGCCCATAAGATGATGTGATATTCGGCTGCCATAATGACGAACTCAGGGCTCGTGTGGCTCACATGAGAATCGAGTAGTAGAACCTTGGGATTTCCTGGGTTGTGTGGAGCAGTAAGCTCTATGAAGTGCTGTAACCACCATAGAGCAAGCTGGCTATTAGAATAGCCAGTCTCCGAGAGCAATATCAGCTCATTTCCACTGAGGTTTTCAGGGTACCATGCTGCCATATGGATTTTACCCGGTACAACAAGTACAGGTGCAATCTTCTGTCCAGCTGCAGATACTGACTCTATGATCGTAATAGATATACGATTCTCAGGGCTCGGAGTATAGAGCTGCTTTACAGCTCGGGGGGCCATAACTCTCTCACCCCCTGGAATTCCAACCCTAAATCCAGTTTCATCCATATTCCAGATTGACTCTGGATTTATACCATGCTGTAGTACAAATTCCGTGTACTTTTCAAACCACTTAACAATAGCAGGTTCCTCTTGAGCTTGCGTACGCTGTTGCGCAATAGGCTTTGTAGTGATAAAGTGGAAATCCATAAGCTCATTCCGTATATATTTAGTGAGCCAGCTCTGTGACGGTGGAGGCAGTGGGCTCCGTAGGTGGCATACTGCCCCATAAACCATATGCCTATTAGCCCCTAATCCTAGGTAATACTGCTCTAGAATCCAGGTCTTTAGGGCCTCCGTTTGGTCTATAGAAAGCACCCTATTGTGACCTCCATGGGGCTGCTTCCGTGGGACTGCTCGGGTGATTCTTGACTGTATAGTCGACTTTGGGACCTTAAAAATCCTACTGGCAGCACCTATAGATTCAGAGGGGTTTGCTGCCAGCCATTCACAGGCATTTGATAGAGGTGTCCCTTCCATTATATGAATTACATTTGATTACTATATAAATTACTATGTGTAGGAATGTTCGAGGTTTTGGTAAAGAGTAGCGGTGAACATATGCAAGTTGAGAGGACGCACTTGCTTCCTCTGGTAAGCGAGTGGATGCACTCGCTTCCCCCCACGGTTATAATCAATGTTGATTGTGAAATTGTTGTATTTGCAATGGAGTGGTGGTGGATACCATAACTCCATATGGGCTAAAGTTATGGTGGCCACTACACCAAGGGGAAAAGGGTGGAGAACTTCATATAAGAAAACTAGCAATATCTAGCTTTAATATCATACAAGAAGTTAGCAAATATGAACATGAATAATAGCAGCAATGCAATTTAAACTACGGGCTAGGGAGAAGCTTGTATCAGCTTATACTAGTTACAGTTATAGGCTATATATAAGGCGTTTTTGACATAAGAGCCACTTTTGAATACTTTCCAGCCCACAGTTCATTTCTATAACATACTAGGAGGTGCCAACGGTCTATGCATCATAATAACCCTTACCCGAAATGTAGATAATTACGAATATTACCCCTTTCTTTACTGGAATAGCTCTGTCTGTCGCCCAACTTGGGGTTGCTCCCCAACATGAAAACGGAGAAGCTATTGTGGTGAATAAATGCGATGTTCCTGTGTTTTATGCATCTATAGGCGATTCGGGCTCCGTCAACACTCTCCCTCCAGGCGGGATTTATCGGGAACAGTTTAGATTAAGGTATCTTGGGGATAATCATGATGGAGAAGCTATATACGGCGGCATCAGCATTAAGCTCTCGCCTAATCAGACGATTGCCGGTGATAAGCAAGCATTCTTCCAGAGCACAATTACACAATTTGAGTACACATACCATCCTCAAAACACGCCTGGTCTTTGGTATACTGTCTCAAATGTAAATGGCTATGTCTTTGATTCAGATGATGGCTGGAATGGGATACTGCCCTGGCCATTCCAGAAGGATGGCTTGATTGTTGAAGGAACCAGTGACGATTGTGCTACTGTAACCTGCCCTGGTGGAAATCCGAATGGCAATTCAACTTGCATTCAAGCCTAAACACACTATAATGATGACTGGTCATCTCATGGGTGTAGAAATAATAATTCTATTGCTTTAACACTGTGCGCAAATGTAAGCTTCTTAAAGAATGTTGTTACTGGTCAGATTGTCTCTGACGGCCCGCAAAGCTGTCTGTAGATGTTTGTAACGTTAGTAGCTATTCTCAGTAAATCTAGTTAATAAGTTAACACAGTCAATTATATGTGCTCTTCAGTTGACTTTGTCTGTCTTAATGCAATATAATGTATGAGCCATGCATTGCATACTAGTTATTAGGGAAATGTTTTTGACAAGATCAGTCTTAATTTTGTATTCTGTGAATAGAAGGTAGTGAAGACCTTAATTTATCTAATATGAGCGATGCCTCGTCCACAATCAGGTAGGAATGTGCAGATTTTGCTCTAAAATCTTCTGCCACGCTAATCCACTTCTGATTATATTTTTTCAGACACTGGTTCTCTAAGTCTACTGTGTGTAACATCGTCTTAGCCTGTTTTGCAACTTCTTCAGCTTCTTGCTTCTTCGTTAACTCTATTGCAGCAGTATTCTTGCACTTGTTCAGTTCAATTACCAATCTCAAATTTTCTGCTTCTAATTGTGTGATTTTGTCCGTAAAATTTGCTGCTGGTTGAGTTAAAAACATATGCTGCGGTAGGATTAGCATTGAGCCTCTTCAGTAGTATAACAATGAACTTCTTTTGCTACAGCTTCAAACGAACTACCAATTCCAATTTCTCGATATAACTCCATATAAGCTCCGATTGAATGATTACTCAGGTTTTTTTGGAACAGGTGTGATGCTGCTGGCAGATATTGCCAAGAATAAGGATCCTGTTTGCAGGTAATGAGACGAATTTCTAACGGGTCGACTGCTATTCCAAGCTTGGTCTCTATTGGTATTGGTTAGCATTAAATTAGTGTTCCTAGGCATAGTCCTTGGCAATATGCTCAGAAAGCTTTTCGCGGCATTTAGACCACCATTGGGCTCGATCTATGTTACTTTGTCGAGGCGCCATTTTAAATTCTGTCTGGTAGGTTGGATTACAAGGAAAGATTTCTACCAGCATTGACGGTAAATATCAATGGTGCAAGTGCATCGGCTTATTAATGGAACTGAACAGCGCGTCCTTTTATTTGATCATGCTTGACAGAAATGGCTGCTCTAAATTAGTGCCATTTATGACCTGATTTTAAAGCAGCCATTTTTAGAGCCAGTTCCTGAAGTTAATGGAAACGTGGTTTGATAGACTAGGTAAGCAAGAGATAATTACAAGCCAGTATCTGCTTCCAATTTAGGGCTGTGCGTCATACCCACTGGAATCGAATGGTTGAGGCGGAGCTGTGGATTTCAGCAGATGATCTAAATTGTATGAAATCGGCCTGTTATCACAGCGACCCAAACTATCACTTTAGTGCAGTCAGAATGGAATACCAATAATACAGGACACATATAGTGATTAAATCAACTTAAGTTTGTCGAACTATCTAATGAGCCTACGTATAGATGTTGGGCGACTGTGAGCTCGATTTGGGCTTTATAGCACGGCTAAAGCTAGTTCATACACTAATGAGGCTGGTGATATGTAGGATGTCTCGCATGGGCTGGTTACAACAATGAGCTTTGCATAGAGCCCTGAAGGTACTATATTAATGCTATATCAAACAACTTGCTAGTAGTAGTAAATAGAATGCTATGGTTTCCTCCATTAATTTTCCTCAAACTCCATGATGCATTCACAGCTTACTGTACCTTCCTTTACCCACGAGTTTTCAACTTTTGGCCGGCCCTTCCACTGAACCAAGTATTAAACCCTACCATGCCATATTCGCTTTTTGAGCAATTGCACACCCAAACAATTTCCCTTATAAGTTTCCTCAAAGCTTTCAACGAGATCTGAGCTTATGTCATTCCATTTCTGCCATGTATTGTCCTCATCCGTGTAGCCTTTCCACTTTACAAGATACCAAATCATGTTGCGTTCTTTCGACTTAGCAAGCAGCGCTTCAACCTCCCATACTCCTTCTTGGCCTGAGCAAGCCTGAGCAAAAGCGGCGCGAGGTCACATGATCACAGGACTCGATCTGCGTCGAGATTCCGGTGGTAGTACAGCCTCATTACGAGCCTTGAAAGTGTGGTAACTTGGGGAAAATCGCAATAGAATTACATGATGTTCAACTCTAGCTGTTCTATGCTACGATCCACATTCTCAGATCCAATTTTCTGAAGCGTCCAGGACTTGATACACTCGAGCGCTTGTACTGTGTCTGGCAATAGCTGTGCTCGGTCCTCATTGATTGTATTTGAGGCTCTTGAAAACAGCCTCTCCGGCTCATCACTCATTGCTGGTATTGACAAAACATCGATTGCCCAACGAGACAAATTGGGATATGCCTCTTGTTGTGAGGCCTCTTTCCACCAATCGAGCGGCTTTTTTTTACTCTTCTGGCTAAGTGTTATGCTATAGTAACATGATGTCATGGTTACAGGGCCAGGGCCTAGTAACGTGACATGTGAGTCACAGTGGGAAGCGGGGTAGGCTGCCATGTGACGGGGCTAATGGATAGTTGCAGAAACTAGTGGATATTGGATAGTTGAGCTATCCACGAACTATCCTGAATATCTAGCTATCCGCCAACTATCCAGATTACCCATGAGGTACGACGCCACTATATAAGTAGATAGTATTTCCTTAGATAGGAGCTTCGTGCTCAACTCAATACAGTATTTGTTATATACTAGTAATGTGTTACTTGAAGCCTTTGTGTCTGATCCCCTGCCTCCTCTGATAAGTAAACCTTTACGCAAGAGAACCTCTGTGTCTTCTATCGTTTAGAAGTCAGCATTACACTAAGCCGAGGAGTCAAGCAATACATCTCATACTCATCACATTCTTCATGCTGAGGGTTGTTCTGCTGCCGGAATTTTGAGACCTCTGACTGGCCATCTTCATAGACCCTTTGAGGCTCTAAAAGATCCTCAAAAATGTTTGAACTACTGTAATAAGTCTTCCAGAAGGCCAACATGTCCTTTTTAGCTTGATTAATCCAATCAGGCCATTGCTTTGTAAAGTACACCCATTTGATCTGAGGATTAAGAACAATTGAAGCAATATAAGCCTCGCTTGCCTCTGTCATATTGTAGTACTTGTTGAGCTTATTCCATGCGTCATTAGCCATAGATTTAATTGCATCTGAATATTTGATTTCCGTAATGTCTTCGAAAAGCTTAAGCAAAAAAAAAAATTCCGGCAGCAGAACAACCCTCAGCATGAAGAATGTGATGAGTATGAGATGTATTGCTTGACTCCTCAGCTTAGTGTAATGCTGACTTCTAAACGATAGAAGACACAGAGGTTCTCTTGCGTAAAGGTTTACTTATCAGAGGAGGCAGGGGATCAGACACAAAGGCTTCAAGTAACACATTACTAGTATATAACAAATACTGTATTGAGTTGAGCACGAAGCTCCTATCTAAGGAAATACTATCTACTTATATAGTGGCGTCGTACCTCATGGGTAATCTGGATAGTTGGCGGATAGCTAGATATTCAGGATAGTTCGTGGATAGCTCAACTATCCAATATCCACTAGTTTCTGCAACTATCCATTAGCCCCGTCACATGGCAGCCTACCCCGCTTCCCACTGTGACTCACATGTCACGTTACTAGGCCCTGGCCCTGTAACCATGACATCATGTTACTATAGCATAACACTTAGCCAGAAGAGTAAAAAAAAGCCGCTCGATTGGTGGAAAGAGGCCTCACAACAAGAGGCATATCCCAATTTGTCTCGTTGGGCAATCGATGTTTTGTCAATAAATGTCTTCGAAAAGCTTAAGCAAAAAATCCATGGTCATAATAACCTTGCCAAGAGAGCCAAACGAGCCTTCTACATGTTTGTTCTAGGATCTTGAGAATCCCAAATACTCCTTCAAGATGAGACCACTCATCAGTAGTCAAAGTATCATCCCAAAGCTCGTCCTTGTGCTCTGAGCAAAACATCCGAATTGCAGGCTAAACACCAGGCCGTAGAGTGCAGCCAATCATATGAGACCATGAGTTCCAGCAAGTTGAGTTGTCCCGTTCAAGCCTTTTGCCTTGGCTATACTCTCTAAATTCAGCAATTCGTTGTGGTGACCGTTCAATGTTGTGAAGCTTTCCAAGAGCCCCATTTTACTCAAGAAAGCTATCAGCAGCTGAACAAAACTATCCCATTACAGACAAGGAACTGCTTGCCATAGTATGTTCTCTAAAGCATTGGAGATGCTACCTTGAAGGGGCAAACTATCCTATCACTATTTACAGTGACCATTCAAATCTCTTGACCTTTACAACCACTAAACAGCTCAATCGACGACAAGCAAGGTGGTCTGAACAACTAGGAGGTTTTGACTTTGTTATAAAACATGTCTCAGGGGCCAAGAATCAAAGGAGCAGATCTGCTCTCAAGAAGACATGACTACCAAGATTCTGCTAAAACAAGCAATACAAAGGCCCTGCTAGACTCTACAAAGCTTATAGCAGCATCTTTAAGCAACCCTCGTACTACAGAGGACTTGGGGGTAAACTTATCCCCTCAAGAACAAGTTGCCCCCATTACCTCTTCTCAGAAACCAGAGACCTTTAAAGACTATACACCCTCAGCAACACTTCTTAAAGAATTCAAAGATGCTTACAACCACGACCCCTTTGCCAAAAGAACTTTGGAATACCTCCAGAAGAAAGGTTCCTCTCTTAAGAAAATTTCTCAAAAAATCAGCAAGGACTTCTCTTATTCAAGAGCTATATCTATGTCCCAAGGGATAAACGATTACAGCTACACCTCCTACAGCAGTTCCATGATGCTCCAGCTGCAGGGCACTTTGGCTTTGCAAAAACTTATGAACTTCTAACAAGAAAGTTCTACTGGCCTAGTCTAAGGACTACTCTTCAAGACTATATATCTTCTTGCACTACTTGCAACTTGAACAAACCTACATGGCAAAAGCCCTATGGCCTCTTGCAGCCTCTACCTATACCAGAACGCCCATGGGACTCCATATCCATTGACTTTATAGTCAAGTTGCCTCCTTCTATCCCAAAAGGGGGTGCTACCCCTTATGACTCTATCCTTGTGGTAGTAGAAAGGCTCACAAAAATGGCACACTTTGAGCCTTGCAATGAGACTATCACAGCTTCTGAACTTGCGTGGCTATTCCTCAAGGTGGTCTTTAAATATCATGGAATTCCTGGACACTGGATCTCAGATAGGGGAGCAGTTTTCACTTCAAACTTTTTTAAGGAGTTCTCTAAACTCTTAAACATGGAACAACGCTTTTCTACAGCTTATCATCCTCAAACAGATGGCCAGACAGAGAGAGTCAACTCTGTACTTGAACAATATCTAAGAATTTATACAAACTATGCTCAAGACAACTGGGCAGATCTTCTCCATCTTGCAGAATTTGCTTACAACAACACAGTCTCTAACACCACAAAAGAGACACCTTTCTATGCAAACTATGGTTATCACCCTAGGTTTGAAGTGGCACAACTTAATTGTCCTGAAAATCTCAAAAACCCTTCTGCTACTGAAAGAATCATCTACCTTAAGGGCCTCCAGGACTATCTCAAGGTCCAAATACAGCATGCACAAGATGAGCAGGCTCAGGTTTTTAACAGGGGGGTGGTTGTGATCAAGTCTTTTTGTCTAGAAGTCATATCACAACTACTAGACCTTCAGACAAACTTGATACTAAAAGACTTGGACCTTTTAAGATCACAAGGACTATTGGCAACAATGCTTTCGAGCTGGCATTGCCACCTACTTGGACTATTCATAATGTCTTCCATGCATCTCTCTTGTCTAAGGCACAAGAAAGTTCCTTAAGACCAGTCTCCTCCACCTCCTGTTCTGATTTTGGATCAACCAGAGTAGAGTCTATCCTTGACAAAAAGATACTTAGAGGTTAGGACTACTTCCTCGTTAAGTGGAAAGGCTATCCTACAAGTGACAACACTTGGGAGCCTAAGAGAAATCTAAAAAATGCATCCAAGCTGATTCTAGAAATTCTTTCTAAGAAAGCCACCTGGCTAAAGGGCAAGCACACAGCTAACAAACGTCCTTAAGAGGGGGATCATGTCATACTGACATTCGTTGCACTCAGTTTGCTATCAAACTCAAGAGCAAACTTGGAAATCTCCTCCTCAAACCTACAAGTCACTATACATATTTTGGCTTATCACACCAACAACAAGAGCAATACTACTCAACGATTGCTACAACCATCTATGATTCATTACACGTCATCGCTCCTTAGTTACTGGGCCGATATTACCACATAGCATATCTCTACAACCCTCTATGATTCATTACATGACATCACTCATACTACCACATGACATATCTCTACCAACTAGAGGCCTAGGAGCATGAACGATAGCTCTAAAAGCTCCTACGAACCTCTATGATTCATTACATGTCATCGCTCTTTAGTTACCCACAAGATTGGTTAAGTTATGACATAATTTGTCTATGACATAATTTGTCTATGACATAATTTGTCTATAGGGGTACTCTGACCTTGGACCTCCTTTTACTTCCTATAGGCTACGAACCTAAGAGATGGTTCTATGGGATTCTCTTACGTCGACTACAGTTACCAAGCCTGGTAATCATGGAAAGTCTTGGAAAATGAGAGAACTACACTCCTTTAGCATAAATAGGATTGCCCTTTCCTTAAGAAAGGGCAAGCAGACAATACAGTAAATTGACTATCACATACTTCCACGTCTTTTCCAAGCTTCCAAGCATTCATCTTGTTACTCCTTGTTTCTGAAAAGTCAGTGAGGTGTTAACCTCTGACTTACCCCTGAGTTCCCAGACTCAACATTTGTTGCAACTTGTCTGAACCACTTCACTACATCACACACCTGATTGCTGCGTTGTGGAATAGTCTAAGCTACGACCCTTTGGCTCTGTTTTCTAAGACAGTGTGTTGTCTTAGTAAATTCATCCCTTCCTTGGGTGGCTAGATTCTCACATCTGGTGCACCCACCATTACAATTGTGTACAACAGCTGCCATATTTTGTCCTGAATGGACTCCAGTCATTGGCTCGAAACCAATAAGACACTATAAGATGTATGTTAGTAAGTTAATATATTATTATATAAGTTATAATCTGCTCACCTCTCTCCATTGCCAATCGTCAGTGATATAATACACAGTAATTGCTAAGAACGCTAATTTGAGCAGACTTTGCCATCCATCAAGGGCAATTGAAACCTTTGCCATAGGTTGTAAATCCAATAGTATCTTCTCCATGACGTTGTTAAATTGCATTGTTAATTCTTGCGTATAACTGTCCGGTGTGGAATTTCCAGGTCGGGTTTCTGCAGAACCAAATACTGGATCTGTGTTTCCTACCACTTATGCCAATCCACGCCGCCACGGCGGCGTGGATTTACGCGAAAAGCGGGTCTCCCCCTGCGGCGTGATCCCCTGCGGCGTGGATTTCCCGGTGCATGGGCTACACCCTCTGCACAGTGTCACACACGATTAAAAATCAGCTTATATACTTTGCGTGATAGAGGGCATCCTATACCTCATGTACTAGGTCCACAGGAGCATTGTGGTCGCCATGATGAGCGAGTTTACATATGATGCGAACCATTTGGTTGTGGTCTACCGAGCGTGTAGCAGCTGTGTGTCACCTACCACACGCGGGGGGCAGCGACACCTGAGGGAGTTCCCACACAACCTACGCGGAGCTGTCCATAAGGCCACTACTGAGCTGCTTGATGGGTATGGCAGGAGGAGGAGTCTGGACGAGCTGAAGGAAGAGGTGCGACGACTGAACCTACAAAGGAGTGACTCAGGACAGCTGGCGCAACCCGTGCAAGGCCTAATGAGGCATGATGGGTTCTACTGCCTCCGCCCGCAATGCATCTACTGCACACGCAACCTAGCGAACATGAAGGAGCACTTGCGAGTAGAGCATAGGTTAAAGGCTGCGCAACAGAAGACCATGCATGGCCAGCTGTGGAAGGAGTGCAAGCTACAGACATACTTTAAAGGCGGTAATCGGATCAATTACTTTGCAGTTGAGCCTCTAAGTAATACACAAGACATTACCCAGCTACCCCAAGCTACGACAACACAACAAGACCAGGAGCGCCAGCTGAAGGAAGACATGCTATTCGAGAAGATCAGCAAGGATGTTAAAGAGGTCACAAAAGACCAAGAGGAGGCTGCAAGTGTAGTGCGGGACCTTACCTCCAAGATAGACTGAGTGCCCTGGCTAGAGCGGACGGGATTCCCAAGCCACCTCACTGGGCTGAAGGTCGAGGAGATCTACAGCTCGTACCAGCTGCCTAAGGTGCAACCACTTAGGAAGGCGGGGGATGACGGCCGTAGCGATGGAAGGAAGTATGATCCAGAGTCGTACCTGATGCACATTGTGCGGGCTGCAGAGAGTCTGCTGCGCGATGCGTACAGGCTGTGCAGTGACAACTCCAAGGAGCGCAAGATGACGCAGCAGAGGGCTTGGACGATGATGCGACCACAAACAACAATGAGGATGCGTCGGCCAGCAACGCTGCATCAGAATCAGAGAGACCACCGAGCTCAGAGCCAACCGCGGAAGACCTTGCAAGGCTCGCAGCGCTTGAGGCAGAGAACATCTGCACCACAATGGTGAGCGGCGGGATGACGCTTACGGCCAAGTACACCACGGACGAATACCGTGTCGCCTTCGCTGATGTATTCCGTTCGCTCTGTCATCTGGAGACAATGGAGGTGAAACGTAACCTCCTTCAACCGTATGTTGTCACTCCGCAAATCGTGGGTGAAGTGATCAAATTCTTCTTCCATCGGGTGTTCAACATCCCAGGAGCCCGTCAGGTCCAGAACCTGGTGAAGCAGCTGCAGGCCACAGACGAGTGGAAGATCGTCATGAACGCAACGAGTAAGAAGCTCGAAGCTGAGATACCCCTACCGCTTCGTCGATTGTGTTCCGCCATCAGCAAGTCCGGCCTTGCATCTTCCGATGTCGCTGGGAGATTTTAAGGTCATCATGGACATGGAGAAGCGAATCATAAGCTATGGCGAGTATAGCAATTGCAAAGAGCTTGTGGACAAGAACAAGGACATCATGACCTTCTTGAACAGCAAAGGACACTTTACCAAGCAAGGAGTAGGAAAGGTGACGCTTCTTAAAGATTATCTTTCTGATAAGCTCGGCATTAACCGGGAACAACTTGACAAGCACTTCCAACTAGGACGGGTGCTTCATATGTTAACGAGCACCTTTGGGGCAGGCATCCTGCCTCTTCTGCCGAGAGAGACATACAAGTTGTAAGATAGATATACTGCATTTTACAATACGGACGGAGCTAACAAACACTACAGTTGGGGGGAACAAATCCCACTTGGCCCAGACAAAGAGATGGTGGCAGTGATCGCCATGCATTTTCCTGAGCTCAAGAGGATTTGTGAAGGAGTGAAGGAAGTCGTCATTGATGCTATGCGTCCTGGCTCAGGAACCTCCTCCTCAGCATCAGAGGCCACAACGGTCACCAACTCCCAATCCTCAGTGTCCTCATCATCCACCAGCGGGTCCTCCTCACCCTCGCTACCAGACGACTCGTACTCCTCAGTCGCAGCGATGGTAGGGTTGTGGACGTGCTATCAAGGGTCAGCATGGAAAGCGGGGGGCAGATGGAGGGGCAACAGACCAGCACCATCTGGATGTCATTCGCGTGCCTCATGGTACAGTGTAGGCTGTAAATGTCAGAGGCGATCTCCAGCATCGCCAGGCAGGTGTTCACCTTCTGATGCTTGGAATCCTCCCCAACGAGCAGGCGGCGACACATCAGGTTCTTTCCGGCCTCAACAAACTTTGTGTAGCAGAGCTGAAGTGCCTCCAAAACATTGGCGCGGCGGTGCGTGGTCGTTTGGCTGAAGTTTGGGCGAGGGAAGCTGGGATCGATGGCGCCCTCGTACTTCTCAAATGCTGCCATCAAGTGATTGAACTTGCAGAAAGCCCAGGGGGGAATCTAGAATGCAGGGTCAGTGGAGTAGGAGGCGAAGCGGAGGGTAAACATGCACGGGGAGACACTTCGCCCGATGTTCCTGGCAGTATGTGCAGCGGGTCATAGTGTTAACGCGGGAGCAGCACATATCCTCGCAATCCTTGTACACTCTCTTAGAGCAACGGAGACACATGGCGACCTTCGGCTTGGCGCGGCAGGGCTTCAATGGCGAAGACATCACCTCTGACATCGTGTCATCAGGTGGGAGGCGCGCATGACGCAAAGGGTTCTCCGGGGGTTGGACCACAGTGGCAAGGCGACTACCACGAGCGAGGCCAGATGGAGTGGCAGCAGTGGCGTTGCTTGGGCCAGGTACCAGGGCAGCCTCAGCGCCACGGGGAGAGCTTTGAGAAGCTGCGGCGTCAGGTTTCTTTCCCTTGCCTTTAGCGGGGCGTTTGGGGCCCATCCTGAAGAGATCTATCGGTTGAGTCAGTAAAGAGAAATTAAAGGTGGTGAAGTTGGAGGAAAAAGGGTGAAGGAGGAAGCGGGCAAAACGACACAACAACACAACAACGCGCAAGCGACCCGGGACCACTTACTCAGGGGCAGGGCTGCCGCTAAGTGGCCAGGGCAACAAGCCAAAATAAACAACACGGGCCGAATTCACTTCTCGGGCTCAAAGGGGCTTGAGCCACATAGGGGGGGATAATTGTCACGAGCATCATCACATGCGGACTCCAATCACGTGCGCTGCGGTGCCAAGGTGGAGGGTCTTCACTCCGAACCCCGCCTGGAATCGTATATAGTAGGAACGCGGACCTTCGGAGGAGGGTCAGCGTTCAGTCTTCATATCAATAGAGGGCCTTACTATGTAACTATCCATAACGTGACTTCCCGCTGCCCTGTTCTACCAAGGCTCTCTTACACTGTGTTTGCGATAAGTGCAATAAAGCAGGGCTCATCAATTATGGCAGACTCATCAGCTGCGGCAAGTAATGCTCGTTCAAGCGGGTGATATTGGTTCCTGTTGCAATTTGTGGACGAGATTCTCGCGCTGGCACTGGCGTATGGGGCCGCCCAGGTACAGGCTCTCTTTCTGGACTAGGAGTGACCTGGATTATATCATCATCCCCCCATAAGTCAGGCGTGGCTGTCAATAAGTGTTGTCTTTTAGCCAAGGGTTCAAATGCTCCCACATCATCGAATCCCCTCTTCTCGGCTGTGAATTGTACAGATGACGCTCGGATTAGTCGTCCAGTGGTGGTAACAAGCCGGTAAATATGATCGCCCTCGTAGCCAATAAGCTTACATTAAACCGCATTGTCCGTGTCTTTTGAGCGGAGTCTCCAGAGCCAGATACTTTGTGCCTGGTGTACGCATGTGTCGGTAGTGGGGATCATGTCCATACCAGGCTCGGTATGGTGTTGGCAGAAGCCTTGATTGAGGAGTACGCATACCAACGCAGTTTGCTGTGCATACCATTTCCGGCCAATATTCCCATGGTAAGCCAGAGAGCTTTAAGAACGTTTTAGCCTTGTTCCAAATGATATGTCCAAGCTTCTCCGGAGCACCATTCTGTTCTGTGTTTCCGGGAACTGTGAACTCTGGCGTAACACCTGTGAGAAAGAGATATGTTCCGGCCCAACAGCGAATGATGCCCAACCTATGCGGGGTAATATAGTATAGATATTGTAGATAGATCTATTAACGTGCATGTATAACGAAAGTACCAAACAAGCGAAAGTGCCAAAATATCGCGACTACCCCATAAGAATTGCGATAAATCCACCACAACAATATAAATTAATTAAAACTACTCGGAGTCCTCTTCCTCAGACATGTCTATTATAATCTGACAAGTGCGCGCATTGTGTCCAGTCTCACCACACTTGCCACAGCGACGTGCATGGGTTTCTTCCCTTGGCTTCCGACCACTACTTGCCCTTATTTCTTGCTCTACTTGCTCCACAACGTCCCTCTCGTCCTGTAGCTCCTATGCTACCTGTTGACTAAGTGATCCTCCTTGCTGTAGTCATGTTTTTTTTGCTCTCCGGCGCTTGCTTAGCACTTCATTTGCCTGTTGCAGGTTTTGGTTCTCTGCTTTTAACAATGCTAATTGATGAATTATTTGCGATGCACCCTTTGTAAACTGGTCAACAGCTGCATAGATTGAGGTTGGAGAGCTATTTTGATGATGCGCAATTCAGTTTTTAATGAAAGTAGACTGTGATACAGCTTCAGTTGGGTTATTTGGTGTCTGAGAAACCCATGGTTGAGCGGTGCTTGGGTGAGAGGTTGGAGGTGTTGGCATCTTAAACCTAAGGTCAAGTGTAGATATTACACTCTCAGGGCTAAATGGAAGAAGCCCAGCACCTCGGAACCCTCCCTGAATATTGCTTTCTGTCATTGCAATGTTAAATGCAGCGTGGAAGGCAGGAAAGAAGTCATCCTTAGTAATGTAAATAATATGAGCCCGCATCATATCTCCAATTTGCTGACCGTAAGCTCTCTTTAATGGGCCAAAACAGCCAACATCAAGTGGTTGGAGTATATGGGAAGAGTGAGCAGGCATACAAAGCGTAATAATGTTGTGTTCTTTGCAGTACTCCCCAAACTTGTCTGAGTGGTGGCTCTCATGACCATCAAGGACTAACAAGCGATAACCACCAACACTCCGGGGCTTTCTGTGCTTCTCAAAATGCTGAATCCAATTCATACCTCTCTCGTTTGTAGTCCAGCCATTTGCAGTAACAGCGATTACTCAATCTGCTGGAAATCCGCTATTCTCATACCAAGATGCAAGGTGGTTTTTACCTGCCACAATGACAAATGGCGGCACTGCCCAACCTTGAGAACTAACGCCTTGGATTACTGTAACCCATTCCCGATTGCCAGGCTGCACCTTTTTTGACTTTGACTGCCCATCTGAGCTCGTTACTACCGTTGCGCTTGAGATGACGCCCATCATAAACCCAGTCTCATCAAAGTTGTAGATATCTGCATTGTTGATGCCATACTTTAGAATTGTGTTCCATACAAGCTCAAACCAGCCACGAATGACTTCTGGATCTTCGCACTTAGCCCTCTGGTAGTCGTATTTTCGCTGGAAGCATGTCCGGAGCTCTACATGGCGCTTAACAAAGTTTAAAGCCCAACGTGACCCGACGCGTGGCGCGTCGCGTGTTGCAAGTAGTCGATTTGCCATATCTTCAACAATAGACAACTGAGGAGGGAACCATTTAGCAGCTAAGCCAAGTATATACTGAACAAGAACTGATTCCTCTAGGTTACTTAATTTCCGTAGGTTGGCTTGGATATCGCGTCGTGAAGGTACGCCTTGTAAACGGTGACGTAGCTTGCGGTGGTCTATGGAATAGATCCTAGCTGCAACTCGAAGGTGCAAATTTGGGTCGCTTTACATAGCTTGGATAGCTAGCACTAATTTGCTTTCATCATTTTTATGGCGCATGTTATGTTGTGGAGGAATTTAACATTTAGTTGGGGGGGTTGGTCACCGCATGATTTTGGAACTTTCGCTTGTTTGGCACTTTCGTTATACATGCACGTTATATCAACTTCATCAATATGGAAGACCCTACATTGCACAGATTAGTCCATTTCCTCAGGATGTGCGCACTGCTTTTCAAACCTATATTCATAGCTTTAGCTATAGTAATAGAGAGCAGATAGACTACTTAAAATACCGTCAATTACTCCTCTATCTTCAGAACCCATCGATGAAACCTGCAAATCCTATTGAATCACGACTTAAGCATCGTGCGCAAACAGAGTTTATGCTTCTACATAATAAGCTCTACTATAAGCCTACTACTAGGTTTCAAAACCCACGATGTGTAATTCTTGAGAGCGATGCATTTGATACTATTATTAACGAACACCTACAACTCCTACACGCAGGCCGTAGAAAAACATGGAATATCATACAACAAAAGTTCTATGGACTAAAGAGAGAAGAAGTAGAGTTCATTATAAAGCGGTGTAAGAACTGTACTCTAAATCGACCATCTACTACAAAAGCTCCGTTAGTCCTTATTATAAGTGGGCGAGCGTGGAAGCGGGTTCAAATTGATCTAATTGATATGCGCCATGAGCATTCAGGGCAATATAAATGGATTCTGTATATAAAGGATCATTTCCCAAAGTATACACAGCTATACCCATTAAAGAGCAATCACGCAGGGCCAATTGCAGACTGCTTTGCTCAATTTATCGCAGCTTTCTTACCTCCAAAGATTATGCAAGCTGATAACGGAAAGGAATTCAAGGGAGCCCTACTTATCCTACTACGCAAGTATGGAATTCAAGTGATAAATGGAGCGCCACGGTCACCACAGACACAAGGCCTAGTTGAGCAAGCCAATGGGGTTGTTGAAGCAAAGCTACGAGCATGGAAAATGGATCATGGATCTATGGAGTGGAAGGATGGGCTACTCGAGGTTATGCTTGCAATGAATACTCAGCTACTATTCTGAGATAGGAGCTCTTATATTAACTGGCTTAATAGCCAGGCGCAGAAGGATCTCTCAATTGGAGTTGAGCAGGAAGACCCAACGATGGCACCGATTCTTGAGAGTGAGCTCCAGCAAGAGCGAGAGCTCTCGATCAATTCTGAGCTGGCGCTATCGATCAATTCTGAGCTAGCGCTATCGATCAATTCTGAGCTGGAACCCTCGATCAATTCTGAGCAGGCTCTCTCAATCAATTCTGAGCTACTTCTCTCGCTCAATTCTGAGCTGGCGCTCCTACCCAATTCCGAGCGAGCATTCTCACTCAATTCTAAGCTAGCGCTCTCACCCAATTCCGAGCGAGCACTCTCACTCTCACTCAATTCTGAGCCGGCAGAATCGATCAATTCCGAGCAAGCGCAAGAGCGGCTTCATTCTGAGCTCCGGCATGGGAGCTGGAGTCGAGTAGCAGCAAAGCCTAGAACTGAGCTTAGAGCCCCCATTGATCCTATAATTGAGCGGGCTACACTAGCAACTCTAAAGGCAAGGGTTCTTATGATACAAAAGTATAGTAAGAGGCATAATATCCAACACTTCGATATTGGAGCTATAGTCTCTATTAAGGTTCCTCGAGAGGATAGAACCTCAACTGATAATAAGAGGCTTTTTGCACGCATTTTAGAAGAGCCCTATCCACACCGGTATCAGGTTATAACACTCTCTGGTATTATACAATGCCTTATACCTACAAAATCACTTCAAGCTGTAGAGCAAGCTCTTTGGTCTGATATTACTATCCCTACTTCTACAAAGCAAGTAACACTTGCACTTGCAGCTAGAGAGGCTACTACAACCTCTTCGATGACATGCAAATGGGAGAGAAGGGACACTCTAACGAAACCTTCCCTGAATTCAAAGCTCGATTCCAGAGTGCTGCTATCACTGGACAAGTCACGGAGTCGGAATGGTTCCGCACCCCCCAACACAACTACGGCGCCAC